CAGCTACTAAGCTACAGGCACACCTGCTTATATAGAACTGCAGCTTTTGCTGAGTCATTGCATTCATTTAACTCTTTCAGTGCTTAACTCACATTTTTATAATTAAAAATATCTAGTTAATTTTTATTATTTCTGACAAATCTATGAATCATTCTCTCTCTGTTTCCAAGATTTAGACCATGCGTGATACTGTTCTTGCAGCAAAAGCAGCAGTGCATGCAAAGTGAAAGGTTTCAGAATGTTTGGGGAACTCCCAAGCTTCTCAAAGGGACAAGCAACTCTTTAGGAAAGAAAATGCAAAGGAAGGAACCCCATTTTCCCCAAAAGCAGTCATTAAATGCTGAATAGTTGTTGAAAGCTGAGAATAGAAGTGGGATTGAGTGGAATGTACTGGATGTGGGAATGACTCACTGACTGAAACATATTTCTGTGTGGAGAGAGGTCCTGAATTCCCCATATAGCCTTGCCCAGTGGCCCTGGTGTAGCCCTCTCCTTTTGGTTTTCATTTATTCATAATATTCGTATGTGAAACTAAGAATTGGCCCCAGGTGTTTTAAAATCCTGATGAGCCTTCAGATCTTTGATACGGGCTGCATCCAGATGTCATCTCTAACAGGAGCAGCTGTGGAAGCGGGGAGAGTTCAGCTTTCCCAATCCTCTTCTCCTGTCCTGATGCACATACCTGGCTCTAGGGCATAAGCAGACAGTTCTCCTTTCAGCTGCATGTTCTATTTATGGATTTGTCAGCACTGAAGGTGTGTTACATCCAGTTAAAGGTTTCTTCTGTTTCAGTATTATTAGTCCATTTCCTTCCATTTCTGCATTTGAAAATCCGCTTGTAGAGAATGAGGACTCACTAAGTGATGGCCACAAGTATGAGCCAGCTAGCTTTGCAGAAATGGCTTCATGCCACAAATGCAGTTGCACTGTAGTTTTATGGCTGTATTAGTATCTGTCTGGCAATTGCCAGAGTTTTCTGGGTTTGAGTTTTTTTTTTCTTGCACACTTAATCAGGGAAGTGGTGAAAGCTGAATATCAGCACAGTGGTAGATTTGCAAGAATTACAACTTTTTCCTACTAGAATTCTGTTATCCACCAACTGGAGCCAGGGACAGGAGTTTCTCAGGCCCCTTCCACAGAGCTGAATAAAATCCCACATTATTGTTGTTGTTGTTGTTGTTGTTATTATTATTATTATTAATTTACTATACTTGTATACCATCTTTCTCAGCCTTATCTGAGGCTCAAGGCGGTTTACAACAAGTCAGTACACATAACAAAATACAAATTCAACATTAAAACAGTGTAAAACCACAATAGAAGCAAGGAAAACAAGAAAAACCAACATCATTATCATCAGTGTCTCCTAGTTAAATAACGTTGTCCAAGTTCCATTGCCGAGTGATTCCATTTCCTGTGTCAGTTACTCTGCATTTGTAAACTCTTCCTCATATAACCATGTCTTAACTTGTCTCCAAAACATTAAGAGTGAGGGAGCCAATCTAATCTCTTTAGGGAGGGTGTTCCATAGCTGAGGGGCCACCACAGAGAAGGTCCTGTCTATAGTCCCCGCCAAACGTATTTGTGATGAGGGCGGGATCGAGAGCAGGGCCTCCCCGGATGATCTTAAAGTCCTAGATGGTTCATAAGGGGAGATATGTTCAGACAGGTAAATTGGGCCAGAACCGTTTAGGGCATTATCTGCTTTGAACTGGAATACATTGGAGTGTGGACTCAGATAACCCAGTTCAAAGCAGATTTTTAAAATATAAATAATCTTTATTGAGAATTTTCCTTAAAATCAATTAAAATCCTTAAAAGAAAAGGAATAGAAAGGAAAAGGGAAAAAAAAGAAAGAAAAGAAAAAGTGGTAAATAAAAAATAAAAAATAGAATACTCACCTCTGAGGATGCCTGCCACAGATGCAGGAGAAACGTCAGGAGAAATGCCTCTAGAACATGGCCATATAGCCCGAAAAAACCCACAAGAACTGAGTGATTCCGGCCATGAAAGCCTTCGACCATACAAAAAATAGAATATTTTGTTCTGTTCCAGCCACAGGGGGTGCTGTCGCTTCATCTCCTTGCTGAAGAGCTTTCTTTGTTTGTAAACTTTGCTCCAAACACCATGCGTACAATACTTCCCTGCTTAATGTGGTTCCTCTTAATCTACTCATGTTGCTGTTTTCGATCCACTAGGTGGGCAAGGAGCTGGGCTGAAGATCAGGAGCTTACCCTGACCCATCTTTTGGTTGGCAAGATTTACTGTAATTGCAGTTGGTGATTAACCTGCTGTGCTAAAGATGGCCCTTTGAGCATAGCCTAGGAGTTTGTTTTCTGTACTGGAACAGACTGCCCCACCCCCAAAAAAACCCTTTTGCACATGAATATATTCTTTTATTTTTGATTTAAGAGTCTACTTTAGATGTAAAAGAAGTTGGAAAATGTATGTGATGTACTGCAAATTACATAGAAATGTACTTTTTCCCCACCCCATTCAAAACAATGCAACTAATTGTATAGGATACTGTATGGAAGCATAATTTCACACTGCTGTCCCTACCTATCCACACTGAATTGCATATGCTCTCATTTTTCATAGGCCTTGCAGGCTCCTGCTTGTCATGAGAACATGGTGAAGGTTGGAGGCTACATTTTAGGAGAGTTTGGGAACCTTATTGCTGGAGATCCTCGCTCCAGGTAAGGAATTGTGAGAGTATTGCTGAAGGGATGTCACTCTGAAGGGGGGAAATTGGGCAGTTGTTGTAGGTTCTGGTTCATCCTTTTCTCATTTTTCATATCCTTCAAACAACCTAGTGTAGACCTACTGATACACTAGCTTTCTCTATAAAGGAACTGCTAATTATGGAGGATAATTCAGCCATGCAAACTGCTCTCTGCAGTACTACACCCAAATGTACACTGACTGCTATTTAGTTCAGCTGAAGAAGTCTCTATTCATTCTCTCCTAGGTGGAGCATGTTAGAAAGCCTCAGTTAAAATGTCATCCTTTCATTCTGACTTGCCTGAAACATTGATTCCTAAGCTACAACTAATTGCTGCCTCCATTAATTTTCCCCATCTCCCAACAGCCCGCTTGTGCAGTTCAACCTCCTGCACTCCAAATTCCACCTCTGCAGTGTGTCCACGCGAGCTCTGCTTCTCTCCACCTACATCAAGTTCATCAATCTCTTCCCCGAGACCAAGGGCACCATCCAGGAAGTGCTGCGTTCTGACAGTCAGATCCGCAATGCTGATGTGGAGCTCCAGCAGCGTGCTGTCGAATACCTCAAACTCAGCTCTATTGCTAGCACTGATGTCTTGGTAAGGGGAGGAAAAGGGACCAGAAATGTTGATAGTGTGTGGGCTAGGCAAGGAGTTCAGTACGTCAGTCATTTCATGACGAAATATCAATGACACTGCCTTGTGTGTGTGTGTGTGTGTTCAATCCTCTTCTGAGAGCAACTGCTTCAGAAAATGCAAGATTGGAAGATCTTTTTTCAGAAGCTTACCCTATAAATCATAGTATTCTTTTGTCAGCTTATGAAGGTGTGTTTACAGCTGACAAGAATTCTCTGTGATTTAAATTAATGAGTTCTTAGTCAGATACCTGTCTTTGCTTTCTCACTTTCATGCCCAGCTAGTTTTAATCAAGTATTTTAAACTTGCTTCTTATGTCTAACCTTTGTTCTGTGTATTTTAATATGCATTTTGTAGAAATATGTTTTAATATGAAGGAGGGAAATTGGGCAGTTGTTGTAGGTTCTGGTTCATCCTTTTCTCATTTTTCATATCATTTTCTCAATATTTTCATATTATTGTTTTTAGCGATGTAACCCACCTTGAGCCACAGGGAGACATGGGAAAGAAATAAAATAATAATATATTAAAAATAATAATAATAATAATAATATATTATTATTATCATTATCATTATTATTAATAATAATAATGTAGAAACTCCAAATGGTAGTATACTAAGTGGGCTTGTGTACAGATCCATTTTAGTCGTTTTCCTTCGGCCAATCCTATTTCTTCAGCTTGGTCGGATAGCCATAATGACAAGGACCCAGCCGTCACAGTTTCTTGTCCATAACAGGACCACGTGGCAGCCGATCACAGCTCCTCCTCCACTTTTCAGGAACATTCGGTGCATGGAGAGGCTGTTGTGTGCTCCTTGCACAGGGTTTCCCTGTGAGCTCTGCCTGTTGGGCCAATTAGAGTAGAAGAACTTCGTCATGTGTCTTACACAAGCTGAGTCTGCTTTCTTAACACCATTGCTGAAACCCAAGCTCCCTTAAAGGGAAAAAAAAAAGGAAAGGATCCCAGGAACGGAAAGGGCCAGATCTAGCCTCATTTTTTGACTGCAAAACAAAAATGGCTATCTGGCTACGTGCCCATTTTCGGGAGGGATGTGAAAATGGATACAGGGGTCTATTGGAATCCAGCCAGCAGAAATAGATTGAGGTTCAGACAAAATATACAAGCCTAATACTAAACCAATCATGGGGTCATAAAATATACAGCAATTTACTTTCAGAACAAGGTTCACAGGGAGGTTATGCCTTATTTTCAAGCTGAATTGACCTTCTCTGGTTGGGAGGAGGAGGGGGACCAACTATCAAAACACTTCCTCATAGTTTTTCGATTTGCAGGTTGTAGGGCCAACAGTAGGTACATCTGTTTGCTTTCTGCTTTCAGTAGGAAAAAGGGTAACTCAAGACTGGACTTCCAATCCACCTTCCAACAAAAAAAAATAATGAAAATATCATGTATGTTCCCCATGTAACAGAAAACTGCAGGTCTACTACTGTCACAAGGCAAAAGTTGACTGGGAGCTACAAAAAAACAAACAAACAAAAAACCACGTGGGAGGTACATGGAGTCTGTAGGCCCCATTTTGTCCACTTCTGGCATAATATATCTCCTTAGCAAATAAAAATTCTGCTCTTTTGGTGGTTCTGAAAAAAAAAAAAAGAAAATGTTGACTACCATAGCTATCATGTGAAAAATATCTGGCCACACAGGCCCTGACCATTTGGACATATTGGTCCATTTCACTGGGGAATGGTTACATAGTCTTTGAAAGAGCCCATGGTTTAACCTTGGACCAGAGCCACAAAGCTACCTGGTGTAGCATTATTGGTGACTGTTCTGCATTTGCCTCCTTTTTTCACATAGGCAACGGTGCTGGAGGAGATGCCTCCATTCCCTGAACGAGAGTCGTCCATCTTGGCGAAACTCAAGAAGAAAAAGGGCCCTGGAGCAGGCAGTGAGCTGGATGATGGCAAAAAGGACCCCAATTCTGAGATCAATGGGGGCATGGAGCCCTCAGCCAGCACTGCTGTGAGTGAAATGGGAGGAGCTGGGTGTTTTTTGCAGATAAAATGGCATTTTGTGTATTAGACCATTATTTCCTGGAAAAGGAAGAGCTCAAGAGTGAGAACTGGGTGATATTGAGAACTGTAAGTCCTGGTTTTGATTGTAAGCATATTTGTTGTAAAGTAGAACTTTGTGGGCTCTATACCAGTTTTTTCCCCAAGCTTGAGCATGCCAGATGTGCTGACCTATGACTCCTAGATTCCAATGCAGCATGTTGCTTGGAGATGATGTACTTTGCAGTCCATCGTATTTTGGGTGCTAAGCACTGCCCCATGCATTTAATGGGACATGTCTGGGAAAAGAAGAGTTGAAGGGGATTAGGATTCCATCATGGCAGACAACGTATAACAACATTTCTGCTGCATTAGATTTTGAAAAAATGGCATTCATAACCTTTTTGAAAAGAAAAATGATATCATATCCTTTTGGCAAATGTGAATCTCCATGAACATTTGGAGACCACCTTTTGAAAACCACTAGTCAAGGAAAGACATGACCTTGTTAGGAGTCAACCCTTTGAAAAAGTGGTGGTCACAAACATTCATGTAATGGCACACAGGTAACTCAGTCGTTAAACTGATAAACCATGTCTTTGAACTGCCAGGGATAAAGGCATTCCACTGCACAAAAACATATACTTAGCTAGCAGTTTTAAAAATGTTGCTGTGAAGTTGAAATGGAAATTGCAGTTGCCCAAAACATATCATTTCCCTTGAAAGAGTTTAAAAATATGCACTCAGAGACAAAAAATAGTCTTTTTTAAAAAATAACATATTCTGTTTCCTCACAAACACCTTGTTTTAATTCAGCATGGGCATGCTTCTTATTGACCCAATTATAGGTAGGAAATGCTGTTTGATTTATGATTTGGTTATGTATGCAAGTCATTGAATTTTGCCATTATTTGTTGTAAATCGCTTTGAGTCCCCCCAGGGGTGAGAAAAGCAATATATAAATACTGTAAGTAAATAAATTCTCTATGTTAAGAACACAGGGCATCATTCGTAATCAATAGTCCGTAGTCCAAAGTCCTTAAGTATACATCTTACGAAAGTCCAAACTTTATAACTGTACTCACTGCTTCTCAAAGCAAACATATAGTAAACTGTTCCTGCATAAGTCCAAAATACAAACTGCTTCCATCGAAGTCCAAAAGCATACAGCATCCACCTGCACTGAGGTCTAAAGCGAACTGCTAACATTGAAGTCCAAAATCATACTAATAACAAAATGGAGTCTTGAGTCTGAACATGCTGAGTACAATCACATGTCTGTGGCCCCTCCTGCACCAAAGAGGTCTGTCAAACTGGCAAATCAATATATACATACAATATAGGTTAGCAAATATATCAATTAACAAACAAATAGTGAAGGCTTGGAAGGTTGCTGTTTCCAACGTTAGAATCTTAACAATGTATTGTCGAAGGCTTTCATGGCCAGAATCACTGGGTTGTTGTAGGTTTTTTCGGGATATATGGCCATGTTCTAGAGGCATTTTCTCCTGACGTTTCGCCTGCATCTATGGCAAGCATCCTCAGGATGCTTGCCATAGATGCAGGCGAAACGTCAGGAGAAAATGCCTCTAGAACATGGCCACATAGCCCAAAAAAACCTACAACAACCCAGAATCTTAACAGTTTCTTTCAGCCTACATTCCCCATAGTTTGCAAATAAAACATGTTGTACCAAATAGGTGCCCTGGAACAGTCACAATCTTTTGTCTTTTCTTTCCCTAATTATTGCTGAAAGAGAAATCTGTATCTAGATTAAGATGAGGGACACGATATGAATGATATGTAGCCTCAGACCCGTTCTAGGCTCTGAGTAGCTCTTTCATCCTTTTCCTTTTCCATCTGATTTCAGACCATCTCAGCTTCTCTTTGAAGCAAAAATTGACCTCCCTCAATCACCTAAGCCTGTCTTCTGAAAAGAGGAGGTATACTGAAATTGAGAGAGATATGTTAAATTTGGGCAAATAAAGTAGAGTTTTGCTTATCCAACATAAACGGGCCAGCAGAATGTTGGATAAGTGAAAATGTTGGATAATAAGGAAGGATTAAGGAAAAGCCTATGAAATGTCAAATTGTGTTATGATTTTACAAATCAAGCACCAAAACATCATGTTTTACAACAAATAGACAGAAAAAAGCAGTTCAATACATGCTAATGTTATGTAGTAATTACTGTATTTACAAATTTAGCACCAAAATTTGCAGTGTATTGAAACAGCTGTGGATCTGAGCGGGAGTGAGACTGCATTGGATAATACAGAACGTTGGATGAGTGAAGATTGGATAACTAAACTCTACTGTAGTCCTATTACAGAATTTGGTTGTTTTTTTCCCCCTAGGCTGATTAATGCAGCAGTAGGAAAAGGGTGTTCTCACAATACAGATCCCCATGTGTCTTCCTTAGTGCCCAGTGTACTTGGTTCAGTTCAAATCAGGAACATGAGAGGTGGGCGCTGTCTTGTTTTTTAAACCTGTCCTTTTTCTGCCTTGCAGTCAACACCTTCTCCTTCTGCCGACCTGTTAGGCCTCCGTGCAGCCCCAACCTCCGCGTCTGGCGCCCCAGCCAGTGCTGGCAACCTTCTGGTGGATGTCTTCTCTGACAGCCCCTCAGCCACAACAGGCCTTGTGTCTGGGGCTGAAGAAAACTTCCTGAGGTGAGGTGACAACGGCAGAACTCAGATAGAGGCTCTCTTCTCTGTTGCATTCAGGATGGAATAATGCAGCAGTTCAGAAAGTGTTCAGTGCAAATAACAAAATCTTCCGGGTCAGGACAAATGCCTCCCCTTTCAAAGAGTTCTGAACCATTTTGAAGGGGAGTGGAGAGAGAGCTTGGCCAATGGATTATGGCAGTGATTCTCAACCTGTGGGTCCCCAGGCGTTTTGGCCTACAACTCCAGCTAGTTTACCAGCTGTTAGGATGTCTGGGTGTTGAAGGCCAAAACATCTGGGGTCCCACAGGTTGAGAACCACTGGATTATGGGGTTTTCCCCTTGCATGGGTGATTTATGGGATCCTGGGGGAGAACCGTGCTTTAGTGGTGAAGGTTCTCAGTTCAGACACGGCATCTTACAAAGGACCCAAATAGCCATGGATGGAAAAGGGAACTCCTGGACGTCCCAATGGATACTACAACGTGAGATAGACTTGGTGTTCCTCTCTTCCACTTGGAGTTGTGGGTATTCCCCTATCTCCAGATATTTCTTTTCATTGGGTAGGTGTTATGGGTTTTCACTTGGTTGGGGACTTTGTGGGGTTTCTTTGTCTCCTTGGGAGAGAGGCACGTGTTAGTCCTCATAGCCTTGTCTTGCCACCTTTTCAGGCTTCATGTCCATGTGTGTATATCTATCTGTCTCTCTTTCTCTCTGTCTACTGCCTTCTGGGAATGGTTTCTTCTTTCTCCCTTTCTCTCTCCTTCTCTCTCTCTTTCTTGCTCTGCCTTGGATGAAGCAGTGACTTGGAGCCCCCTCCCGAGAGTCCTTCGTCCTTATTGGTGGAGGCTGGCCTGCCTGCAGAGTAAGGGGCTGAAACACTCTCTCCCTCGGCTGGTTCTGCCCTCCCTGTTCTTGGTCCCTTGCCTCAGAGGTGCCTCCTGATGAGTCCCGTTCTTCCATTCAGGTTCCTCATAGTAGGATGAAGGGATTTTCTTTAGTGACTGGGTTTGACTTGACTTTTGTACCTGGTGAGAGGACATGAAGTTTCAAAAGGAAACAAGACTGCATTTTTTCAAACTCCGTGTCAGTCAAGGGTAAGGATCCTTTAGCCTCCAGAACATTTTTGGATTTAATCTTCCATATTCCCTTACCCCTCGTCATTCTGAGCGATTGCTCAGAAACATTTGGAGGGCTAAATGTTCCCTACTCCTTGTGAAGGTAATAAGGGAAACTTCATTCAGCACAAGTTCCTTATGCTTACCATCAAAACCTTCCAGGGCTCTGTTCTTCCTCCTATCTCCCTTCACCATTCTCTACATATATGTAGAGATAACATCCAAAGCCTATGACCTTTGGCATGACTTTCCCTCCTGCTCCTAATAAGGGTTTAACCCCACTGTTCAGCCCTTTTGAGTTCTCCCCTCAGAAACACATTCTTCCTCAGAAACATATTCTACCTATCTCATCCAGGGTTTTATCAATTTTTATCAATTTTATTTCTAGTATATTTGGCTCGCCCACTTTGTTCCATTTTTCTATCATGTCATTTTGGAACTTTTTATTTTATTTTATTTTACTTTGTTTATTTTGTTATGTTATGTATTTATTTTGATTGTATTTTTGCTTCTTTGTATTTTATTTTGTTGTAATTTTGGGCTTGGCCTCATGTTAGCCGTCTGAGATGGTGGCGGGGTATAAATAAAGATTATGATTGTTACTATTAACAGAAAAACACAGTAAACGAGATCTATATGCTGGATTTCGTATCACAAAATCACAAGTCGAATACTTCCCAAGCGTCTGGGACTGTGTGATATTATTATTATTATTATTATTATTATTATTTATTATCAACATCCCAAAGTCTCCTGATCCCTGAAAATACTACCATATACTCGAGCATAAGCCAACCCGAAAATAAGCCGAGGCACCTAATTTTACCACAAATGTAGTGACTCGAGTATAAGCCAAAGGTGAGAAATGCAGCAGCTACTGGTAAATTTCAAAATTAAAATATATACCAATAAAATTACATTAATTGGGTCATCAATAGGTTAAATGTTTTTGAATGTTTGCATAAAACTGTAAATTTAAGATAAGACTGCCCAACTCTGATTCAGCCATTATTCTAACCTTCTTCAGTGTAAATGTGCTTCCGTATCCTTCCAATAATAATAAAGAGAATAAAATACTGGAAATGTAATAACAGTAATTATAGAGTAAAATAATGAATGTAATAATAACAATAATAAATAGAGTAAAAAATAAATGCAATAATAGCGATAATAATAAAGTAACATAATAAATGTAATAATAATAAAGTAAAATAATGTAAATGTAATAATAACAACAATAATAGAGTAAAATAATAAATGTAATAATAAAAATAAAGTAAATAATAAATGTAAAAAATAAGAATAGAATAAAATAATGTAAATGTAATAATATATATGTAATAATGTAAATGTAATATATATATATATATATATATATATAGAGAGAGAGAGAGAGAGAGAGAGAGCAAAATAATAAATGTAATAAAATGTAATAAAAATAAAGTAAAATAATAAATAACCTTGATTCAAATATAAGCTGAGTGGGGCTTTTCCAGCCTAAAAAAGGGGCTGAAAAATTTGGCCTATACTCGAGTTTATACGGTAGTTTTTTTCTTTTTGCCTGTTGTTCCATGTGCTTGGAGCTGCATTCCAGAATACTTCAGTGATTCTACTTTGCTTAGTCCTGACACATCCTTCCCCAGAACCTGTCTTTCCCCATGACACTATGTGTACAGCCACCTTGTTCCCATGTCCTCCTTTAATTCAGGCTTAATCCATCCAGTACACGCAAACATATATGATTTCTTTGTTTACTTCACTTCCATTTTCCTTCCTGTTTTCTGTTACTTCTTCTGTGTCAATGTTTGGATGGTAAGCTGCTTGAGGCAGGGGCTGGTGCTGTGTCCACAAATAGTGGTCATGTGAAACCAGGGTAAGCATCTGAAAGGAAATTCCTAGCGCTACAAAAATTCCTTCTAGACTGCAGTTGTCAGAGATTTTTGCAGCTTGCAAACACACTAATATGGATCATCATTGCCTGGGACACTTTCATATTTGAGCAGGACATTGGAATCTAGACATTGGGGTGGATTTTATTTTGTGTTGGGAAGAGGAGTAAGTTAGAGCCAATGCTTGGGAAAAAAAACATGCCTTTGAGGGATTATTGGGATTGTAGCCCAAAACAACTTTCTCCGACCCTAATTAGAGCTGTAAGGCTGGCTGTAAGACTGCTGGGGATGATATGGGCATGAGTATCTTACACAGTATGGGCATGAGTATCTTACACAGGATATGGGCATGAGTATCTTACACAGACGTGAGTCCTTGAATACTAAGCTCCAGGGAATCTTTTCAGTCAGAAGATATGTGGTTCTGGAGTTTTTGAAACTCAGGCAAAATAAATGTTTCAAAAAGTCAGAGATTCAGATAGCTTGATTGCGTACTAGTATAACTGAGGTATGTATGTATACTTATGTGTATGGGGAAGAATGAGGAAAGGAATATCCTCATGATGAGAAATGCAAACCTTCTTTTGCTGTTATCCTTGCAGTGATTCTCAACTCTGGATTGCAATTGTTCTTAAACTAAAACTCCCACCAGTCAGCATGATTATGGGAGGTGATGGCAGCTGTACTCCAGCAGTGTTTGTGGAGTAGGCAGACTGGTGCCTTCTGTATATTTAGAGCTTCAGCTCTATACTCTTGGGAAACTGACCATGCTGTATAGGCCTGATGGGACTACAGTACAGAATCTTGGTTTGGCCTTTAAGTTGCCAGCCCTTGCTTTAGAGGCCTTTTAGGAATAGTGTCCACTCCTCCTCTGCCTCCTTGCTTGCCATGTTGCATGATGCGACTGTGTCTCTCTGTGTGTTTGGGGTGTTTTTGGTGGTTGTGTCTTTCCTGCCTCTTTCTGGTACTAACATGGCGCTGCGCCCTGGTGACTCATCTTTTCTGCTCTTTCTCTCCCCTCCCTCTGGTAACTGCTGGCCCCTTTGCTATGCCCCTTGGCCACCACCTTCAGCTCAGGGGCTGCCGCTCCTGTCTCTGAGGACCCAGCTTTGCCTATTGCTGAGGCCGATGAACTGCTTCACAAGTAAGATCCTGCGGTAGGACTGTGCGGTTCCTAGACATTAGATGGGTTGGGCAGTGGGCGGCAGATGGAATGCAGCTCCTCCTTGACACTCGAGTGGGAAGGCCTCCACACCTGCCTGATTGTACTTTTGCTACTTGCTTCACCCAACACCCTTTTTTGCTGTGTCCTGTAGCTCACTACCTTTAAACATAGTGTGGAGATTGGGAAACGGAGCTTAGAAAATTACTCTGTGGACTGCAGCATCCCCTGATAGCATGGGTTTCTGGATCCTAAGAGTTGGGGTCCAGAAAATAACTTTATCCTCTGGGAAAATCACAGGATCTTCCTCAATTAGTGGGTTTTTGTTTTAATTGGTGTATCATCCCACTGTGAAAGAAAAACTATGAGACTATGACTATCACTGAGGTCTTAAGAGAGCAAGAGGAGGGGCTGGCAACTTTATACCCAAATGGATAGGTACCCAGCAGAAACTGTTGTGAGGTGAAGCTTCTGACAAATCAGACTGGAAGAAGTGCTCACAGAAATGCTGTGTGGATTTCACCTCCCTCTAACTGACCCGCTCTGGTTCATTATAGGTTCGTGTGTAAGAATAACGGCGTGCTCTTTGAGAACCAGTTGCTCCAAATCGGGGTAAAATCAGAATTCCGGCAGAACTTGGGTGAGTGCTTCTAAACAGGTGTGCCTGTTGCTTAGTAACACAGTCAGTCTGAGGTAAACCTCAGTGGGAGAAACGTCTCAGTCTGTGAGTAGGCCTCACAGTGTGAGGTAGGCCTATCAGAAGGCCGAGTGTGAGAAGGCCTGGTGTGAGATGTTAGGCGAGTGGGCTTAATAACAAAAGACCCTCCCCATAAATGTATAGCAGAACAACTCAGAAGAAGCGTGACCCAGCGCCAGTAGCCTAAAGTGATTAAAGAACAAAAAGACACAGATTAATGTTATATATTCCATAGGAGGCTTTTCTTCATAGTAAAATAATATATTTGCACAATTCACACTATTTAATAACAAGGTTTCTATAACACTAATAAACAAATACATAGTAGCTTTATGCACACAGCAGCCTTTATACAGTGGAGCTTCACACACAAGGCTTTACTCTCATACAGACGCCTCTTCAAACAGACTGACAAGTTCCCTCACTGAGGCAAAAACTAACTCTAACAAACTTTGGCCACTCACTCTCCTCAGGGCAACGCCAGCTCTGGCCCACTAACTCTGACAGGCCTTGGCCTAACTCTTTCAGTGTTTGACTCACACCTTTGTAATAAAAAATACTCAGTTGATAGTTAATATTTTTGACAAGAGAAGCCCCAGGTTGAAGGCCTCATGTGTAAATCTTCATGTGTAAAGCTCCAGCATAAAGGCTGCTGTGTGTAAAAAGCTACTGTGTGAAGTTCCAGTATGTTTGTTGTGAGAGGAAGCTCTGTGGGAGTGAAGCTGTTTATCTGCATGAGGAAGAAGCCCACCATGGAAGTAAAGAAGGAAGTATAAAGGACTTTATTTGTGTTGTGGAAACCTTGTTGTTGTAAATAGTTTAACTATATAATTTTACTACAAAGGGAAGTCTCCTATGGAAGAGATAACATTGGTCTCTGTGTTTTTGTTCTTTTTATCACTTTGGGCTACTGGTGCTGGGTCATGGTGCTGCTAAGTTACTCTGCTGTGTATTTATAAGGAGGGTCTTTTGTTAATAAGATTGTCCAGTGCTGCCATAGACTCACCAAAATTTGGAATCCTTAAAGGAATGAAGCCCTTGAGCGAAAAAGAAATCCCACTCCTGTTTCATAGAAATTTGACTTTTGAGACTTGCTAAAAACCTGTGAGCAGAGATATCTTATTGAGATGAAATGTAGCATTTCCATTTGCCCCAGTACCTTTCCCCTTCCCATTTAAGAATAGGGGAATTGTGATGTTCACACATCAAGAAACGCCATAAACCATCTTTTCTTTGCCCCTCCAGGCCGGATGTATCTCTTCTATGGGAACAAAACATCCGTCCAGTTCCAGAGCTTTACTCCTACAGTCAGCTATCCAGGAGACCTGCAGAGCCATATCCTTTTTGTGAATGGTATACAAGTAGGCTGGGCAAGAGTTGTACCTGGTGGGTTTGAGGCACTCTGCTTTTCTTCTTTCATTCATTCCTTGGTAAAGATAGTGGCTGGTTCCTTAGTGAAGCTCACAGCTCAACGTCCAGACGAAAGCAGTGGAGCCATTGGTGGAAGGTGGTGCTCAAGTTCAACAGGTCCTGAACATTGAGTGCCTGAGTGACTTCACGGAAGCCCCCCTCATCAACATCAAATTCCGGTATGTAGCTCTGGTTGCTCTCAAATAGGAGGGGGACAGAGATCTTGCAGTTTAAACAGTTCAGGGTGATTAGGAATGACTGAAGCCAAGGTGGATCTGAATCTTCATTACTATCTGGTGGAGGAGACATTGATGCACAGTTTCATAATTGTCTGAAAAGCTAGAGTTTGAGGTTACTTTGTTTGAACTGAAACTTCTAGTCTGCAGTTTTGTGGAGAACTTAACCCTCCACAAACCCTCCACACCAATGTGATGTGTCCAGTAGTTGTGTCGTTGAAGGCTTTCATAACTGGAATCACTAGGTTGCTCTGAGTTTTCCATGTTCCTTGATTCGTGTTTGGGCAATGCTGTTGTGTTTGTTGGCCCCTATGTAGACTTGTCTACAGCTGCATGATATACAGTACACTCCTGCAGAGGTGAGAGGATCCTTTGCTGAATGTCACATTTGTTGGATTTTCTTAGTGGGTCTGTAGATAGTTTGTAGGTTGTGTTTCTTCATCAGCTTCCCTATGCGGTCCAGTAGTTGTCTTTCTTTTTGCACCTGTTCTTTCCTTTGACTATTGGTTCCCAAACTTTGGTCCTCCAGCTTTTTTGGACTTTAGCCCCGAGAAGCTGAACCACCTTGTCCAACAGACAGGAGTTATGAGAGCTGAAGTCCAAAAGATCACAGTTTGGGAAACACTGTTGTTGGTTCACTTCTCCTTTCTCTTTTAACTGTGTGGAAACTTTTTAGGAGCATTGGCATTAGGAGATGAGAGAAATCATAACAAAAGAGGAGGCTGGTGTGCAGAAAAGGTCACCCCGGGATGCATTTTGGAAGAAGCCTTTGCTGAAAGTTCAAAATGGTTTTATTTACTCACGAAAGGCTTGCTTGACCATGTTGCTTCATTCCATATGCACATATTGTTAGTGCTGAATAAAACATTATCTGAAATATGTAGAACTACTCTTCCTTTTGCAGCGTAGAAAGCTACCCCTAGTCTTTCCTGTTTTGAAGTTGTCTTCGGTTGATTGTCAATACATTTCGCAGTAGTGATATATAATATTGGCAAGAAAGTAAAGGCATTTCTTTTAACACCATCTAATATCTGTTTCTTTGTTCTCATTTTTGTCAAGATATGGCGGGACACTGCAGAACCTCACCCTCAAATTGCCTATAACGGTCAACAAATTTTTCCAGGCAACAGAGATGCAATCACAAGACTTTTTCCAGCGCTGGAAACAGCTCAGCCTGTAAGTGGAATTGTATATGCATGTGGATTTCAACAGAAATGCTTTTGAAAATGGGAGCTCATCAATGGTTGATTCTGCATTTGCAGCTAGGAGGAAGAAAGAAGGGGATTGTGTGACTTCCCACAGTGATGTTATGACATCCCCCATCTTTTGCTTCCTCCATCATCCTTCCAAAATTTGTTTGAACCCATTTGAGATGCATAATTTAATGTTCCTTTTTTGAGCCTGTTGCTAGAAGACCCCCCACTTCTTTATGGCAGAGAACCAAAGCAGCCAGTCCCCAATATGATCCTTGTAACTTTACGGCTTCAATATGTATTTTTCCTCAGTCAAGACACATTTTACAACTGTTACAGTGATGTAGTAGCAATGATATGCAGGAAATGGATGTAGTGTGGGCAACACAAGATTGTTTGATAGGCCATTTGGAGAAGTAGGCACTGGATCACCAGTTTCATCCTCTGCCAATTCCCTTTATAGGCCACAGCAAGAAGCTCAGAAAATATTCAAGGCAAATCATCCCATGGATTCAGAAGTGACTAAGGCCAAGGTGAGCAACCTCTGTTGTGTCTTCCTCTAACCTGCCTCCCACAAATTGCTTCTTGGATTTCTGTAAAAGAACTGCAGACCGCAGGGAAGTCACTCTGATGAGTCAACAAAAGCTTTAGTTGTCAATAAAAATCAGTAAATTTTCTTGACACCATTTTAAAGTCAAGTTCTTAATGAAATGTGGCTGTAAATTTAATTATTTCTTCATTGTTTTGGTAGTATTTTTATGAAAGCTGTGCAGCACCCCCACATTCTTGGGACTGGGACCACTAGGGAATGGCATTAGTGCCAGCAGCCACAACTTTTGCACAGCTGACTATGTTTTAGCACTCTCTGTATGATTTTTGCAGCTTTCATGCTTCCCCCCTTCTTCCCATTGATCTGGTTTCTCAAGGAAGGGCACAGCTGGTTGATACATCTCCCCTGCAAACCAGTCAGCCCACTCAATTCAGCACTAGTCTCTTCTTTCCACAGCTCTTAGGGTTTGGCAGCGCACTCTTGGACAAGGTGGATCCAAACCCCGATAACTACGTAGGAGCTGGGATCATCCAGACGAAGGCACTGCAAGTTGGATGTTTGCTGCGGTTGGAGCCCAATGCCCAGGCACAGGTGAGGGGGAGAAAGGACCCCCGAAACCTTTAGTATAGTGGAGGATTGGAGGAAAATGAGCTCTAACAGGAAGCAAGAGGAGGGCAGGGGATACTGGGACATTATAAAGGGCAAATGGCATTCTAGACTGCAGGGTTCTCTCCTGAAGGGGCAGAAATACAGATGAAACTGTAAAATGGGGAAAGTTGAGTCACTTCATAACATTTTCAAAACTTGCCAGGGCCTTTTACCTATTTTTCTTCCTCTTTCTTGCAGATGTACCGGCTGACCCTCCGTACCAGCAAGGAATCTGTCTCGAAGCACCTTTGCGAGCTGCTTTCTCAGCAGTTCTGAGGCATTGGCCGCATCAGAGGAAGGCGGGGGGAAAGGCCATTCCTGCACATTGGATGCCTATGTCCGCCCCCTCCCACCTCCCTCCTAAACCGGGGGCCTCCAGAAAGACTGTACTGCTCCTTGCCTGTTGTTGTGATAACCTCTGTGTTCTCATTGCCTAGCCCGGGTCAGCACCAAGTGGGGGAGCAAACATGTGGCCCCTGGGATGGCCAAAGTAGAAGCGGGGAGGGATGACTCGTGTGTCAGTGTAAGGCATTCTTCCGGGAGTAGTCTCCCCCTTCCCAGGAAGATGGCTCTTGGAAGAAAAGCCAGGATCTCGCCTTCCCTATAAGCCTGGTCTGATCTAACTCAGGATGAGGCTGAGATTTGTGGTCTTAACCCACCCCCCACCCCCCAAATTCCTGTTGTATGATTTAGTCTGGCATTTTGGTTTTGTTTACAAATATCTACCCCTACTTTCCCAATCCATGGCCTTCATCCTTTCTGTTGGGGAGGTGGAATATACATGTCAGCTACCTTGCTTCTGTCTAAGCTTGCTGGGGGGGAGGAATGGGTGTGTGTGTGTGCGTGTGTATGCGGAAAAGCTTTGTAGGGAATTGTTTTGTTTCTTTGCCTTGTGTACTTTCGGGTGGGGGGCGTGAATTCTCCTTTCCTTTGTCACGGACCATTCCAGTGTTATAGTTGCGTGTGTTTGTGGGGAAGCAAATTTGCTCAAGAGCAGGGCTCCTCCTTCCTTCCCTGGGTCTCTCACCTCTAGAAGGAAAACTGCACGAAGGTGAAGAATACTGCAGGGAAGAGAGGCCTGCCAATTCCTCTCCTGACTCATTTCTCCCACCCCTGGAAAGGGTGTTTTAATAGTAACCTCAAGCAGCCGTAAGCTTGGGGTGGGGGGTGGGATACTCTAGAATGATGCCCTCCATGGATTTGGGGGGAGGGTTCAGTTCATGCTAGTTTGGGGGTGTCCCAGCTTCCCATGCTGGCCCGGGCTCCATGTTACTCTGCTGTGTAGGTGTTATCTAGCGCATCTTAGTTTATCTGGGTTTTGAATGCCTGTATCTTATCTCCATGTGACTCTAATAAAGCCGTGAGGGCGGGGGAGAGCCAGAATCAAGCCAGGCTGGGTCACCCCCACACCGCTGACTGACTCGTTTGTGCACTGCTCTTTGTCTGTAAGATGAATGAGATAAGGCAAAGGATCCTACCTCTGGAGCAGAAGCATGGCTAATTGAGGATGAGGAAATGCTGTGAATTTCTGAAATATAGTCCAGTAGTCACTGCAAAGTGGCACTTAAAATGTTTTGTTCAGTTGGGACTATTATATTTCTATAAAAAAACATTTTATTAAAGAACATACATATAATAAAAGCAAACTACAAAAATCACACACCAGAATATACATAAGAGTAATTAAAAAAAAAACTTAACATATTACCAACAAACAAATATAAAATAAGTATATAACAAAAACTACATCTCACAAACTAAAGGATTCTCAATTCTCTTTCCTGTGATAATGTTCAATTCTTAAACTCCTATTTCTCCTTTACTTGTTTTGAAAATAGACTTCATCTATACATTGAACTCATTATAATAAATAAAATCAATATCAGATTACAATCACTTTTTTTCAAAAGGTAGATCAGTGCTTTCAACATTTCAAAAACATTGATTTAAAAAAAAATCAAAATAGAGAATGTGTCCATTTCTGCTAAACCATTCAATTTTAATCTTCTGAGTAATTAATTACTCTATCATTTCTGAGCATATAACATTTTTGCAGCTGTTGTCATATGCTAAAGTATTTTTCCTTCGCTCTTCTCTAATCATCCATCAGTCCCAAAAAGAAAGGTTCAAAATTGTAATTGAATATCCATCTTTTTAAAGTTTTTTCCTCTATTAAACTATGTATTTGGGCCCAGTACTTTTATGCCTTTTCACGGGTCCACTGCATATGATAGAAAGCCACTCTTGTTTTTCACATTTTCAACATACATTCAGTGTTCCTTTACACATCTTACACAATTTCTCTGGCATAATGTATCAATAGCACATCATTTTATAAAAATTCTCTTTAAGATCACAACAAAGTCAAACTCAAAATCTTTTGACCACTGCTCCATTCATATATTTGATCCAACATTTCTAACATCTTTTATCATGTGCTTTTAACAAAACCTACATTTTTCTAATTACATATAAATAAGAAAACCATTTGAATACATGGCCTTTTAAGAAATATTCAAGACATTTCTAAAGAGTTGGTTTGCCCTGACACTTGCTGAATGGGGCTCAACATGAGCTGTACACAATTGCTAGCAGAGCAGATATGCCAAGAGGTGACAATATCCTGCAAGCAAAGTATAGTGAATTTTGTAATTGTGTCTCTAGTACAGAGCATAGCAGCTTAAATTCTCTCTAGCTTTAAGAGCTTGAGAAAAGCTGACCTATGTTTCTGCCATACTGGGTTATCTGTAATTTAGACAGGAATTAATTTTAAATCCTTGTATATGGGATTACATCCTAAATCCAAATTAATTCTACTAATCCCAAAGAAATCAGGGCTGATATTTCAAGGATTTGGTATTTATGTAGAGTATTTTACACTATTTAGTGTTTTGTATTTATTTTGCTAATGCTTGCAACAGCTTTATAAAATACTGTAGCTGTAAAATAATTGAGGTATTTTGACTTGTTTAATAACCCAAGCAGGGCCTGAATTAGACATACCAGCTTGGTTTTACAATCTGTAGCATATGAATGCAAGTGAGGCAGCTTACTTGTTTGGAAAGAGCATGAAGACAACAAGATACCTTGATACTGAAGAGGATGGAAGAGATTCCCAATGAAATGGGAGAAACTAGCTATGACAATCAGGGAGTAAGAAAGTATATGGAATAAATACATGGAAGCGAATGTGCAATGCTGGAAAGAGTTGGTAATGAAATGTAGTAAAGATATTTTCAGTTACAGCCACCATCATCCAACACAAGGCAGTTTTGCTGAGTTACATTGAAATGAAGTCTACTTTTTTGTTGTGGCAGAAGCAAGCCGAGGGCACAGTTGTATTTAAAAACACAAAGTTTAAAACTTGGCATTATACTAAATGTCTTTTGACTAGAAGCTGGCCACTTGGAGTGCCTCTGGTGTCACTGTAAGAAGGCTCTCTTTTGTGAATGTGGCAGGGCTCAAACTGCATTGTAACAGGTGATCTGTGGTTTGTTCTTCTCCACACTTGCATGTTGTGGACTCTACTTTGTGGCCCCATTTCTTAAGGTTGGCTTTGCATCTCGTGGTGCCAGAGCTCAGTCTGTTCAGCACCTTCCAAGTTGCCTAGTCTTCTGTGTGCCCAAGAGAGAGTCTCTCGTTTGGTATCAGCCATGGATTGATGTTCTGGCTTTTAGCCTACCACTTTGGGACTCTCACTTGCTGGGGTGTTCCTGCAAGTGTCTCTGTAGGTCTGAGGAAATTGTTGCTTGATTTAAAGAGTTGGCATGCTGGCTGATATCCAAACATGGGATGGGCTGGTGATGTCACTGCCTTGGTCCTTTCATTATTGGCTGCTACTTCCCGACTGATGTCAGGTGGTGCAATACTGGCTAAAAAGTATAATTTCTCCAGCAGCGAAGGGTGTAGACCTGTGATAATGCAGCATGCCTCATTAAGAGCTACATCCACTGTTTTAATGTGGTTGGATGTATTCTACACTGGGTATGTGTACTCAGCAAAGCGCAAGGGCAGGTGTCTTCACTGTGTCTGGTTGTGATCCCCAGGTTGCGCCAGTCAGCTTTCGTCTGATATTATTTCTAGCACCCACTTTTTGCTTGATAATCAGGCAGTGCTTCTTGTACGTCAGAGAACAGTCCAGAGTAACTCCCAGGTATTTAGTGTGATGCAATGCTCCAATAGAATTCCTTTCCAGATAATCCTCAGAGCCTCAATATGCTTATCTATTCATAAGGTGATAGGCACACACCTGTGTTTTAGGTTCATTAGGAATCAGCTGGTTTCTCCTGTAATAGGCAGTAAGAGTTTCAGAGAGCTAGTCTGCTCCTGATACAGGTTTAGTAAAGATCAATCCCCAAATCTCCCATGTTGTGAGTGGTATTTTAATCCATGTGCATTCTTTTAATGCGTACATGTCTATACAACAGTTGTAAATGCATAATTATGAACTTTAGAAAAATGGAGGAGAGATGCAAGGCCCAGACTTGTAACTAACTTGTCTCCCTCTTAAGGGTGAATAGAATTCTAATGTTGTGAAAGTTACTCCACACATTTAGGCTGTGCTCTGTGCAGGATAAACACATCTTGCACACAGAGTCATTAAGGACTTCATCTCATCTCTTCCATTCTGGTGGCTGATGAGAGCAATACAAAGCAGTTGGTTGCTGAGTTTAGTAACAAACCTTTGCCCACCATTGCCTTCAGAGAGCAGAGTCCTCAACTGTGAGGGCCTGTAATGTGCAGGTTGCAAGGGATCGCAGGGCAAAGGTTGGCACATCTGGCTTCATGAGCAGGAAGAGTTGATGCCGTTTCCCATGGATTGCATAAGCCTTGTGTGTGGTGTAGACCATATAGCAGTGCTGAGGGGAATGAGAGAAGCCAGCTTGAAAGTCCTCCTGGAAAGGGGCTAAGGAAAAATTAAGTGTGTTACAGGAGAGGCTGAAAGAAGGATCATATGTCAGTATGCCCACAGGTGCAAACTATGTCTTCATGACCAAGGAATTTTCTTCATTAAAATGGATGATGTCACTTTCAATAGAATTCATATATATATTAAATTGCAAGGCCAGTACAAATAGATAGCCAAAAGGAGGGGGCACAACAAACTCACTTGTATTCTCTTCTGGCTTCTCAGAGGGAAAATACAATGAAATGGCTGAGGCATAGAAGGAGCGGAGGGCACGGAGCCGATCCTTCAGGGACATTTCAGATCCTGTAAGATGGAAAAAAGTATGTGATAGCCTGGGTGAAGAGACAGCAGACCCACTTAGTTCAGCAATGGTTTATAAAAGAATATTGATAATGAGTTCTCTCATACCTTCAGTCCAGCTTCCATGAGGATGTACTGTAAATAGACTTTTTCTCTGATCTTGGTTGATCAGCAACAGCCTGTAAAATATTGTGAACAACAAGTACGTGAATGTGGTGACTCAGACTAGCAGCCACATTTTGAAATGAAAAGGTGGGGGATCAAACATGAACCTTAGTGCCTGGTAGGGCTTCAATTCCTAAAAGTGGTGCCCATCATAAAAACTGGTGAGACTTACCCAAGGATCTCAGGGGCGAGAACAATGCCTGGAGGCAGGCATTGAAGAGGGGCTCCGGCACTTGCTTTCAAAAGGTCCAGCAGAGGTTGCCAAAATGGCTTCACTAGCTATGGGAAGGAAAAGAAAATGGCGGTTCCGAATTTGAGCTCCTTATATGGATAAACAGCAAACTTGTCATTTGCACACTCTAAACAAGGGCATGGCTTATCTTCTGCTTTGGGTCCCCTAGAATAAGTCAGTAGTAGAGTTTGTAAAAGTTATCTTTTGGACTGAAACTCTCAGAAATTCCTAGCCATTGCAGTCAAGATCCAGTCTAGTTAATGTGTTCTGAGAGTTGTAATAAAATATTACTTTTCCAAGCCTTAAGTCATGGGATAATGGCGAGAAATGACCCAGTAGGTGGCTAAGGAAGAGGGAGCAAAATGCTGGCTGGAGGGCATTGGACTGATCTTTCCTGATTCAAGAAACTGGAGAGGAAACAGGACAAGCTGCTTCACATCTGAGCTTTGAGGTCCAGAATGCTATTCCCTTTACCTCATCAGTAATGCACTGCAAGGAGGGATTAGGGCCACACAACAGGACCACCTCCAAACCAGGCACAAGTTGGAACGTCAGGAAGCGGTGAGGAACCTATTGAAAAAAGGGCCAGAGAGTCACAAAAGGTAAGTTTCTGTACTGTTCCCCACCTCCACCAATAAGCAACCCACTCACTGTAGGACTGCCATGAGGAAGATAAACAGGGAGGTCACGGGAGGCATGGGGAGGAAGTGACTGCACCAGCCACACCAGCAGCATCGCCTCCTGGGCTGCCAGCTGCCACCACTGCTCCGTGGCGCACAGCACACGTCCGCCCACAAGCAGGCAGCCAAAGCGTGACTCTGCTGCTGAAGCAAAGGCTTCTAGGCATTCCTGAATAGGGAACAAAGATAACAGCACAGAGGTTTACCTATATACATGTACAAACTACATATACACTACCTACTTGCTAGAACTGCAATAGGTATCCATAGGTGGACACAGCAGGCTACAGCTACACACCACGCCATGTTGCTATCTGTTCTGTGCCAGCAAATCCTTAAAATGAATTCATTTTTAACATCATAGAGTTTACAAGGATTACAAGTCAATCCCCTTGCCATGCAGGACAAATTATAAGAACGGACAATATGCCCTTCCTGCATGAGACCATCACCTCCATGGAGTGTCTACAGTTTGCCAGAATGTCCACCAGAAAAATATATAAATATGTTCTGTGACATGATGCATTTAAAAAAATGGGGAAGCCTCCAGATGTCCACTGAATGTGGATCACCATGTAAAAAAACCAGCAACTATGTTTCCCTAAAGCATAAAAAGTTGGGGGGGGGGGGAGGAATGTATCAGCAACTGAAGCCCAACTGGTTTTTATTTTAGCATGAGCCTTGTGGATATAAATCCAGTTCTTTAGATGCAGGCTAAGATAAAGTGAGTATTTTTTTGTCGTGTCAGGAGCGACTTGAGAAACTGCAAGTTGCTTCTGGTGTGAGTGAATTGGCTGTCTGCAAGGACGTTGCCCAGGGGACGCACAGATGATTTGATGTTTTTATCATCCTTGTAGGAGGCTTCTCTCATGTCCCTGCTGGAGTTGATAGAGGAAGCTCATCCGCCTCTCCCCGGATTCAAACCTGCAACCTGCTGGTCTTCAGTCCTGCTGGCACAGGGGTTTAACCCACTGCGCCACCGGTGAAATTAAAACCTCATGTATAAAGCATATTTATACAGCTTTGGGATAAATTTAATTTCTCTTCCATTAATTTCATATATGTCCTCCTATGCCAACAATGCCACTCTGCACTTTAAGTTAGACAAACAGGTTACAATAGAGGGTAAACAAAGGGATTTTTTAAAGTCCCAAATATGGTTGTGTGGACGTCAGAAGCGTGTGCTGGAACCTGCAAATGACAGAAAGAAACAGGTCAACTTACCTGTAGAACTGCCCTGGAGGGTGTCACAGCACATTCCATACACTGAGTCAAGTCAGCACTGCATTTGCCTGGTTCCAGGAAACTGTCAATCAATTTATAACATGCCTGCAGGGTGGCACATTTCATATTTAAGTTACCAAGGGTTTTAAAAAAAAACATATTTTCTGAACAATTTCTAAAAAATATGTTTCTATGCATTTACTATTTACATCCTAATGCTATCTGCTTTTCTAATGTAGTTTCACATGCTTCAAGAAAACATTTTGGATCAGGCTGAAGGAAAAAGGCTCAAATCCAGATGGTAGATATCAAAGATCATCAGAATGTGAAGCAAGGATAACAAAAGCAGGAGGTGCCATCAACTTGCCATACACCATGCAATAGAGCAATATCTAAATGCCCCTCTCCCCTGTTTTACTACAAAGTTCCCTAGATATTATATTCCTGAGTTCAGTTCACAGAAATGTAATTTGCACACTCCCCCCCCCCCTTCCACTCCACATCAAGTGTTACCTTCAGATCCTTTTTCAGACGTTCGATATTACGGGCATTTACCAGTTCCTCCAGACCTAATATCAGTACCTACAATAAAATGCATGTCAGAAAGATCCTGCTGGTCTACCATTTTAAAAAAAGCAGCCAGTTCCCGCAAAAGCAAACATGTTTCCCCATCTAGATTTAGGAGTCTGAGCTGGCATCAAGTACAAGTTCTTTGCAAACGGGTTTATTTTACTGTGAGAAACAGGCCACTTGAAAGTGGGGCCTTACCATCTCTTGTGTCTCAGGTCTCTTATGTATGGTTTTATGTTACTTTACATTTTTACCATGGCCCATGTCACAATTAAAAACCCCTACTGATTCATGCAAACCAGTAGCGTATACCTACACAACTTAACATAACTTTAAAAGCCACAAAACACAGCTAAGTCAAACATGCCCCATGCCCTCCATCCCCCATTCACTGGTGATACTTGCTTCTCTCAAAATGATTTATTCTTCCCAATAATTGACTGTGCCTTACAGTTCAGGAAGACATAGGCTGAAATGATATCCCATTCCTTCAACTACTCACCATGGCATTGAAGATATTCTCAAGGAGTCGCCCAAGGCTGAAGTCACTAGTACCTTCATCTGAGGACAAGACGATGAGCGTGATACTGAAAACAAACATACCACAAACCAAGGATAGGCATGCACAGTAGGCCACCAGAGCCTCAATTTCAAGTCTTTAAAAAGAAGGACAATCCTTCATTTCTAACAAATCCCACATAGATTCAGAAGACAATGATTGGTTGCTAGAGGTATGGCAATTCCAGAGGTAAAACCTGGCATGTATTCTTGCTCACCTGTTGTGAAATACTTTCCACATCACACGCATATTCTCTGTACAGGCAGCTGTCAGCAGAACATCTAGGTTGGACCCAAACATGTGAACCCCATTTAGGGAGCCAATCACAGAGAATGGTAGCTGGGTTGGGGGAAGATGAATAAGGAAATATTAGCATAATACATATGGCTCGGATAGTGACAATTAATTCTAGAAGGATTATTAAGTTGGATCTGTAATGTAGAATATTACTTTTTATTTTCATCATAGGTGGTTGTATGTGTGTTAAAGCCATATTTTCTTTTAGCTATACGTATTTTTTCATTCCTTTATTCTCCGAATGTATTTTCTGAAGGTATAGAATTTTGATTTCAATTGAAATTTATATTATTAGTGTATGTATATATTCGTGTATGTATATATAAATGACTGAACACAACTGGATTGCCTGGTGTACATCGTAAGTACCAAATGTGCTTTGGAGCTCCTTGCTGGTGCCCAGATTAGCATCTTCAGAAAAGATTAAGGTGGTTTTGTTGTATTTCTGCAATGTACCTACAGATTTGTAAAGTTACAACATGCATATTCTGATGTAGAATCTCAGCTCATGTTTTAAACAACTGTGTATAAAGTTCAGGACTCTTGTCTGCTAGAGCTAGGTGTCCTTTGTCCCGCCCTGGTCATTCCACAGATATATGAACCCTTTTTCCTAGTTCCAACAGACCTCACTACCTCTAAGGATGCTTGCCATAGATGCAGGCGAAACATCAGGAGAGAATGCCTCTAGACCATGGCCATATAGCTCAAAAAAACCTACAACAACCCAGTGATTCCGGCCATGAAAGCCTTCGACAATACTGTATTATTATTAATAATATTACATATAATATAAAATATAATTCTTATATTGTTTATTATTAGTATTATATTGGATTACATTATAATATCATGATTAATAATCTATGTGTATACAATATATTATATTATTACCAGAGCACATCAGTAATATATTAACATCTGAATGAAACCCCACATTTTCTGCTTTGAACTGGAATATATGGCAGTGTGGACTCAGATAACCCAGTTCAAAGCAGCTATTGAGGGATTTTCTGCCTTGATATTCTGGGTTATATTGCTGTGTGGAAGGGCCCAAAGACAGTGTGAGAGAAGGAGACGCCACGGCCTCACCTGTGGCTTGGCAAGGCCTCCTCGGCTCCTACAGAAGAGGGGCACCCCACTGCTGGCGGTGAGGCACAGCAGCGTCACGGAGCCCCCCGCTTCCTCCCACATCGTGGCCCGGAAAGTATTCCTCCCTTTAGTCCGCTTTCCCCCCCTTTTTTTTTCCTATTCCTTTTTCTCAGCTTTCCCTCAGGGCCGCCATTTTGGAAATCCCGTTGCCATGGCAACAAGAGCCCCTCCGCGATTGGCTCTTTCCGTGCGTCCCCGGTGTTGCCGTGGCGACAGCAGCGCCTGCGTGATTGGTGGCTTCCTTTTCTTTCTTTCCCCGCCCACTTCTTCACCACCTCACGTGACCAAGGCTCAGCTGCTCTCCCGCAGCAAGAGAGGGAAGAGAAATCTCCCCTCTCCGTTCGGTATTTGCGCATGCGCAATATAAAGCGGACCTGAAGGGGATCATTTCCGGTGGCTGGAAAACAAGGAAAGCTGAGCATCCGGATGTCAGCGTTGGGTATGCGCTTGAGGGAGTGGAGGAAGGAGGGGGATGTTTGAGGAGAAGAGGGGCAGAAGTGGAGAGGAGGAAGAAGAGCGGCCACAGCCCTACAGCATGGGGTTGCTTCTTGATTTGTTGCTTCTTTTCTGGAGGCTTGTCTCTGTTCCATTGACACCAGGCGTGGGCAAACTTGGGCCCTCTGGGTGTTTTGGACTTCAACTCCCACCATTCCTAACAGCCTCAGGCCCGGCCTGAGGCTGTTAGGAATGGTGGGAGTTGAAGTCCAAAACACCCAGAGGGCCCAAGTTTGCCCATGCATGCTCTATAGTGTGAATGCACCCATACTAGGGCCCAGGTCATAACAGAGCTCCCCTGAGACTCTTTTTTAGAGGTTCATCTCTTGTCACTTGTTCCTGAAGACTTTTCAAAACATTTTTTGAAAATCCTGCAATTTTATCAAACACTAAAGGGATGTCAGACTGCACTAATCCTCCAGTGCAGATACACCCACCCAGTTAGATTTGCAATTTTAGATTTCTAACAAAACAATTGTTTGATTATGGTCCATCTCAGTTCCAGACATCATTCTGTCCTTCTCTTATCTACAAGTCCACCTTTTTTGACCTGCTTATATTCCTGTTATTCATTTGTCAGTTCCTTCCTTTCTTTATCTCTCACTTGTTTACATTTCACGAAAACCCAGATGAGTCTTGTGTTTTTATAGAGTACTGAATGTTCATTGTGGTACGGATTTAAAGTTAAATAGTTACAGATTGTTGGGCTTGCCTCATGTTACTAATTTGTCACTCTGCTGCTGTTGTATAACCATATCTCAGTAGTTGGAGGAGATGGTGGTACCAACGCTGGATATGCCTGCTCAGCCTATGGGGATGGTTGCTGATGTAGTCTTCGTCATTGAGGGCACTGCCAACCTTGGGCCCTACTTTGAGTCCCTGCGGAAGCATTACCTTCTACCTGCCATTGAGTGAGTGTTCTTGGCATCTTGAGATGCAGCTGTGCCCTTGTTTGCTTTGTTGCCTAGAATGACACAGTTATGGGAAGGAGAATGCTGAGAAAGTATTTCCTTTGAGGGGAAAATCCAGTTATAGTATTGATTACTATGTTCTGACTATTCGATGATGTACTGTCCCAAGAAAATCTTATATAGGCAATCCCTGAGTTACAAACATATCACTTACAAATGACTCATAGTTAAGAAGGGGGGTGAAAAAACAGGAAGTGAGAGAAATCTGCCCCACAGAAGGGAAATTCACTCTTGAAAGAGTTATCATAGGGAGAATGGGTCTTCGCTGAAGCTTTCTCACAAATCCTTGTTCCCACAACAAGCCAGATTTTTTCAAAATCCAATTATCACAGGCACAGAAAGTAAAATGGAAACTTCTGAACAGGGGCACAGATAGCAAAACATATACCACAGGGGTGAACCCTTCCCTATGCCATCCAAAGCTAAAAGGAGGATATTTTTGGCTGGAGTTACACTTAAAAATGATTTGCAAGCAAATTCAACTTAAGAACAAACCTACAAAACCTATCTTGTTTGTAACTTGGGAATTGCCTGTATTATGCATTTTTATGTTCAGAAGCCTTACATCCCGTCAGTATGACTCAATGAGCAGGTGAATTAGTTTGGTCTTGCGTTGGGTGTGTTCATATCTCTACAGTCAGCTGTTTGGCATACTGGATAAGCAAGTGAAGTAGTACAAAGTGCATTAAATTATAAAGATGCTTCATAAATAATATTTGATTGTGCCAGTAGGTTACTACTTATCACAAAATAGAACAGTAAGTTTAAATATTTGTGGTTTTGCACAAATAAATTTGCAGAGGTTTTTAATGAATGGCACTCCCATACAATAGAACATGCTGAAATACAATCCCCCAAATCCTTCACCTGTAATTAAACTGACTAAGGCTGATGGGAACTCCAGTACAAAGAAAACTGGAGGGTAACACTGATGTAGAATTTCCATAAGAATGTGCAGACTTCTTTTTTTGGTTTTTTTTACTAAATTCTTGGGGTTTAATGATCAAAGATTTTTGCAAAGTACTGGATGAAGGGGTTGGACTTGTGCCAGGAACCTAGAATATAAGTAAATAGTTAAAGAACATGATGACTAAGCATATGATTAGCTGTAGAATTTTTGGTCAACATAAGAATCAAACATACCAATCTTTTCACACAGAAATGTACACCAAGTTCCCTGGAAGTATTTGTATTATAATTGAATTCAGTACAGAAAAACATTTTAATTGTTACTTTTAAATGGGAACCTTTGTTGTTTCAGGCAAATTAAAAATCAACCTGTATATGACTGGTGTATCTTGTGTCTATGCCTGACCTAGAGTCAACTCTACTGAACGTTGTTTCATCTTCTGAGTAAAAATGCATATGCATTCGATGTTTAACATGTGCAGTACTTGGAAGTAGGCTCAATGGATATAAATGAGTTTTACTTCAGAATTATTATTATTACCACCTGCCTCTCCATATAGTTTGAGGCGCAGGGTAACAGATTAAAATAAAGAAATAGATACAAAACACAGCTAAAACATAATTTCCAATTAAAATCCATAATTAGTTGATTGCTTAGTCTTAAAAGTAATAAATTAATCCAAAGATTTCTCAATTGAAGAAATATCTGCAAATACTCATGGTTACTAATATTGCAGATTGCAAATATGGAGTCTCGGGATATTAAAAAGAAAGTTAACTGAAGAGAGACTATACATACAGGTTTAAACTAGACATGATAAATTGACTCATGTGTTTATGTGATTCATCTTAGGGGCAAACAAAATATGAACACAGCAGATGTGTTTACAATTCTTAATTTGGGAAATAAGCAAGTAATGCACATGGTGAAATGGAAATCATGAAAAGTAATCCTGTCATTTCATTACTTCTATTTAGTGTTATGTTCAGTGTCAAGCAACCCTCCCTCACTTTCAGTCAACTGAATTTTTTTTGTTTTACTTCTAGATATTTTAATGGTGGTCCTCCAGCTGAAACAGACTTTGGAGGAGATGTACGTATAGGAATATGCTTTTGAAGTTTTTGTAAATGAGGGAATTGAGTGGGCTTTGGAGACATCCTCTCTTTGAGTATGCCTAGTTTTTGCTTCTGAGCGTTGCATGGGCTGAGAAGCCATTTAATAATAATAATAATAATAATAATAATAATAATAATAATAAGTGCATGAACTCTAGCTCTGTTAAAAATTATTTTTCTTGGGTCACTTATTGCTTTGTGGTTTTTAATATTTTTCTGAATAAAATTGCTTCACTGCTTTCATCCATACAGCAAAATGCAATGTTTGGAAACATGGTGAGGGAGCAGCATGGGCCAATGTCAGTTAGAGATTTATTTGATACTTCAGTTCAAAGCCGAAGAAGCTGTTAAGCTTCGAGCCTTTTAGAACAAGAAGCAAATTTAATTGTCTGGAGCAATTCATGCAAATAGTAGGATTTTCTAGAGTAAAAACTTCTACTTATATGTTAGAACCCAAGTCCCTGATTGTCCTCGCAGCTAGGCAGAAGCCAATGCACCTATTCATACATGTCCTGCCTCTAAAAATATATCTTTTCACCCAGATAGCTCTGTTTGACCAACTTCTCTCTCCCACTTCTATCTCCTGCAGTATGGTGGAACCCAGTACAGCCTAGTGGTGTTCAATACAGTTGACTGCGCACCTGAGTCATATGTTCAGTGCCATGCACCAACAAGCAGCGCTTATGAATTTGTTACATGGCTTGACAGCATCCAGTGAGTCTGAAGATTTGCATGATGTTCTATATCCATTCTATTTAATTATATGTTTGACGTGTATAAGAACTTGGAATAGGAAAGGAATCCAGTTCTTTAGCTATTGACCTTGGATTAGAAAATATGTTTCAGCAGATTAGTTTATCAAATGCTTGGGGAAATGATATCTCTTGCTTTAGTTTGATTGCTGCTTTCCAAAGCTTTAGATAGCTAAACTCTTCCATCCTTGGAATAGAAGATGTGAAATCTAGTGGGCCAAAGATCTCATTCAGTATATAGGAGCTTCCTATGTGCTCCAGCAATGTCTGGGGAAGGATAAACACGTTTAGATAATATTCCAGTTTTTAATCAAGAGAAACCGCTAATTTCATGGGTGCCCTCGCTGTTTCTTTTATAGAGGGAGTGAACAAACCAGCCCAATAATTGATTAATTCTGGGTTTGTTTCCTATGTTCTTCAAAGGAAGAAACCACCGCTAGTAGGTTAGAAGAAGCCAGGATAAGAAACCATGGCTTTACTTCCTGGTTTGTTCCCAAGGAATTAACCTGGGCTTCTGTGTCCAGATGAAATGGAAATCTATAGTTAATGGAAGACATCATTGTTTGTTTCCTCCTGTAGTGAAGAGGTAAACTAAGGGACTGCATGCCTGGGCAAAATGCTTTGATTATACATATGCAGAGAGTGAAAAAGGAAACATGGATTCTGTGGATTTTAGACATTTCCAAGTTCTGTCCAAATGTATCCGGTGTGAGTTTTCAGCCCTAGTACTGGTAATCTATCATTTCTTTGTCATTCTAATCTAAGGTTTGTGGGAGGAGGCGGTGAGAGCTGCAGTCTCATCTCAGAAGGGCTCAGCACTGCTCTGCAACTCTTTGATGACTTCAAGAAGATGAGAGAGCAAATGTAAGTGGAGAGCAGGTTGGGGTGGATGTGGAAGAAAGATGGAATGCCAGGGTTCAGCTGACAAAAGAGAAGCTTCTCATCTGTTTTTAATATTTGCACATTACAGTAACATGTTAAAATTGTGAAATTGTTCATTTTCATTTCATTTTTTGTGGCTTGAATTGCTTTCCAGTAGCCCAAAAATATTTGTTGAGGGCACTGATTTTTATTGCTTCTTTTTTTGGTGGTGGGGGGCGGGTGCTCCTCTGGACATCACTTAAAAATGAAAGACTGAAGGGTGGGGTTGGTGAAGTGTTTCTGTCACTTCTTGAAGCTTTTTCTTACATTTCTTTGGTGTTTTTAGTTGTGCTATTTTAAAATGTTACTGATTTTAATTGTAGCCTACCTTACTCTTACAGCAAGATTAAAAAAACAAATAAAAATACAACAACAATATTTATTATGGTCCATAGACCCTCATCAGGGAACAGTTGTTTATAAATTCTCCTATCTCAGGAGAAGTTCTTTGTACAAGACACCTCTACATGTTTTCAAGTAATACGCCTAATGGAGGTTAATTTCTTTCTTGACCACGTTGCTACTGCAAGGAATTTTGCCACTCTGAGAGTTACCCTTTGGCACTTGTCCTCTAAAAGATATCTAACAATCCCCTGCAGGAGATGGCTGGTCATGTGGGATGAAATTGGATATAGAAGTTGGCTATGTTTCACTGTATAATAGCAGCACTGCAATAAAATGTGTTCTATTGTTTCTACTTCATTTCTTTCACAGGGGCATAGTCTTTGGGAGTAAGTAATTCCAATCAGTCTGCCTCTTAGCAGCTCAGAGAAAAATACATTTAGTCTTGCCTTTGTAAAGATTCTGCGGTACTTAATCACTGTAAGGCTTTTTAGGTATTTGCATGTCTTGATCTCTGTATGGTAAGTTTAGGCCTCCAGGGGAGCATGGTGAATTTTAGTGGGTTCTAAGCTCTCTCAGGGCAATATCCCGCAAACTTTGCTTCAGGGATTCTTGTGCCATTTTGAATTCCAAATGGAGCAAATGGGATTTGGATAGTCCAATTGAGGCCACTTTTCATTCAGCCCTCCTTGCCCTTAATGGTTTGGAGGCTTCATAAGGAAGGTGATGTAGTAAACCTGTTTCCAGTTTGAATACCATTGTTTTTAACCAGAGGTTCATTTTCAGAGCCCAGGCACTTGTACTCAATGGGCAATCCCCCTTTTCTAGGACCACCTTTGGTACACAAGAAGGCAAATTTAGAAGATCTCTTATAAACCTTACTTGCATTCTGTCTAAGTTTGCAGTTGAATTTTCACACCATATGGTTGCATCAAAGAGGAGTTTAGAGGCTGTTTTAGCATTTAGTGTGGAGGGAACATATTGTTCTCCTTTGGTGTAATAAAACCTTATTATAGCTGCTCGGCAGGCCTTTGCCTTTTGAATCACTATTTCAAAGTGCTCATTGCAGGATAGAGTGTGGTGGAAGGTAAGACCCAAATACTGGAAGTTACTAACCTGCTCTAGAGAGAATTTGTCAATAGACCATTTATATTTTGTCAATTTACTTTCAAAAACTAGAATTTTTAATTTGCTGAAAATAAAAATTCAAAATGTATAATGTTAAAACACAATGAAACAACGACAATATTAAAATATTAAAATTAGAAACAGTTTAAAAACACATCAGTATTATGTGATTTCCCCATTGACTCAGTGTTTGGGGAGCATTTCTGGTTATGTTTAGTTTTCTTTGATGGGAAAACACTGGAGTATTCGTATTTCTTAATTTGTGTGTTATTTGCAAATGTAGAGGCAGAACACAAGGGAAGGCAAGTTTCAGATTCAGACAGAATCCCAAGACAGTCTTGAGGAAAACAAACAGCATAATCTATCTCAGATTTCTGCTGCGTAGCTTGTAAATTTCTGTTCAGAACTTCTATTAGTAGGACTTACTTCCATGTACTTGAGTTAATGAATACATACCCAGAGAATTACTAGTATAGGTTCCTACAAGATTGCATTGAACTCCCAACTTGCCATATGTTGCCAGTGACATTTGTTCAGAGCCAGAACAAACCAAAGCTCCTTGATTAGAGCTGTTGAACATGTTCTTTCTTTAGCACTGAAGTTGCTCTCAGGCTTACCAGATTGTTTTGGAGCTGAAAAATTGGGTGCAATGAAATTACACTCTTCCATTATCTGCTTAATAAGATTTAAGATTATCTCAGAAATCTGAGCAGTTTCATTACGGATAATTAGGATCATATCTCTGTCACCCTTAATTAAGCTTCTCTAATTTATGAAGCAAAAAAAATCCCTGCTGGATGTTTGTGATATAGATTCAGAAAACAGAGCTGCTTTTACAGTTATATGGTTACATTTGGTCTTGAATTATCCAGAGACCCGTCTCTACTGAGCTATGAAAAATTCTATCTGGCCTTAGGCCAATCACAACCTCAGAATGACTCACCTCGACAAGGTTGTTGTGACAATGGAGTGCGAAGGAGTTGTATCCAGGGCCTTAGGATCATTGAAGGAAGAACAGGATACACAGAAAAATAGAGAATGTTGGTCCAAAACCATCCTGCACATCAATGGGTGAATTTCATTTTTCAGGAGCATGCACAGCTACACTAAAGCAGTACAAGTATTCTCTAATTCCAACTGGCATCTCTTTGTGCCAAACCATAATAATTGGAAGTATTAAGATAGAGAAAACACATAATAATACATCAAACCATGCACCGAATCAAAGCACAGCTTGAGTGAACATTTTGGCCTCAATCCTATTGCAATCCCAACTACAGGAGAGCTATTGAAGTGCTTTAATTTACCTATGTTTTGACTTACTACTGAAAAGTTGATTGAATGTATAATTGGGACTAACAAATAGGCTTCAAGCTATTGTTTCCAAGCTAGGCTTCACCTGTGTCTTGTGTCTTTTCTTCTCTTCCCCACAGAGGACCGACTCATAAAGTCTGCATCCTTATCTGTAACTCTCCTCCCTATTTGCTCCCTGCAGTGGAGAGTACCACATACTCTGGTTATACAACAGAAAACCTGGTGCAGAAGATTGGCGAGGTGGGTAGAGATGCACATTGATAGTCTTGGTTCTGAATATGCAAGTGACATAAGGCAGTGTTTATAAAGTTGTTAGCCATATCCCAGTCTTTCCAAATATCTAGTACAGTAGAACAGAGTGTGGCTTTGAGGTATATAGAGTTCCCAGTAAGCAAGATCATGGTTGAGCCTAAAGCTGAAAAACCTTAAAGGCTAGAACTCTCCCTTGATGAAATTCAAATACCCAGTGAATGAGAGCAGAGAGGATTTCAGTCCAGAAATCCCATGTCATTAAGGAATACCTGGCCACTCTAAATGAATTCAGGTCCCCAGGGCCAGATCAACTACATCCAAGAGTATTGAAGGAACTAGCAGAAGTTATTTCATAACCACTGGAAATCATCTTTGAGAGTTCTTGGAGAACCGGATAAGTCCCAGCAGATTGGAGGAGGGCAAATGTGGTCCCTATCTTCAAGAAGGGAAAAAAGGACAACCCAAACAATTACCGTCCGGTCAGCCTCACGTTGATACCAGGCAAGATTCTGGAAAATATCATTAAGGAAGTGGTCTGCAAACACTTAGAAATGAATGCGGTCATTGCTAGTAGTCAACGTGCGTTTATCAAAAACAAGTCATTCCAGACTAATCTGATCTCTTTTTTCCGCTAGAGTTACAAGCTGGGTAGATGCAGGGAACACCGTGGATGTAACGTATCTCGATTTCAGTAAAGCCTTTGACAAGGTTCCCCATGATCTTCTGGCAAACAAAGTAGTCAAATCTTGGCTACAGTTAGGTGGATCTTAAATTGCTTGGGTGAACGAACCCAGAGGTGGCTCCCCAATGCTTCCTCTTCATCCTGGAAAGAAGTGATGAGTGGAGTTCCGTCGGGTTCCGTCCTAGGCCCGGTTCTGTTCAATATCTTTATTAATGACTTAGATTAAGAGTTAGAAGGCAGACAACAGCAAATTGGGAGGGATAGCAATACTCCATAAGACAGGAGCAGAATTCAAAATGAATTCAAAGAGATGATTGGTCAAAATTAACAAAATGAAGTTCAACAGAGACAAATGCATTTTTATTCCACTTAGGCAGAAAAAATGAAATGCAAAGAGACAGAATGGGGGACAATACCTGACCCGACAGCAGTACATATGAAAAAGATCTTGGGGTCCCCAGGAACAACAAGTTAAACATGAACCAACAATGTCATGAGTCAGCAAAAAAAGCCAGTGGGATTTTGGCCTGCATCAATAGGAGTCTAGTGCCTAGATCCAGGAAAGTCATGCTACCCCTCTATTCTGCCTTGCTCAGACCACACCTGGAATCACACTGTGTCCAATTCAGGGCATCACAATTGAAGGGAGATGTCGACTCAAAGCTGGAATGTGTCCAGAGGAGGATGACTAAAATCATCAAGGGTCTAGAGAACAAGCCCTATGAGAAGCGGCTTAAAGAGCTGGGCCTGCAGAAGAGAAGGTTGAGAGGAGACATGATGAGGGCCATGTATAAATATGTGAGGGGAAGTCATAAGGAGGAGAGAGCAGGCTTGTTTTCTGCTATCCTGGAGACTAGGATGCGGAACAATGGCTTCAAACTACAGGAAAGGAGATTCCACCTGAACATTAAGAAGAACTTCCTGACTGTGAGAGCTGTTCAGCAGCGGAACTCTCTATCCCGGGGTGAGGTTGGAGGCTCCTTATTTGGGGGCGTTTAAATAGAGGCTGGATGGACATCTATCAAGAGTGATTTGAATGTGATTTTGTTGCTTCTTGGCAGGGGGTTGACTGGATGGCCCATGAGGTTTTTTGCAACTCTATGATTCTAAGGATCAAGCTGCCATTGGCTGCTAATCAGGACAGTAGTATGTTCCCTCTGGTACAATAATTTGTGTGCCTCTTGCATCTGGGGTACATGAGCAGGAATAGTGCCTTGCACACACATGTAAAAAAAAACTTCAGATAAAAAAACTGATTGACTATTGTGTGAATAAAATACAGCCTTTTTTATTCAGTAGGGCACTTACAATTTGTGTTCCCTCGGAAAGACGAAGAGCAGAATTACAGTTGCTAAGACAACCCTTGAAAAGAACTTTATGTCTGCCATCCATCTGTTCCAACTCTTGCTCAGGAAGTCTATCTCCTTCATGTAATTTTTAAAACCAGGGAAATCCCAGATGCAGCCATCCACACTTAATAGTTTGTGATAGAAGAACAAATAGATCCACATATTGTTAAGCACAGTTTTTGAGGGAGTCTAGTGAGTAGGTATAACCAGTCAGCAAACATGAACCAGTTTGAAAGAGCAAGTTTGTGATAGCTGGTCATGTATTCTGGATACAGAGATGAAACGTGCTCAGTCTCCTGAAATATTAACACTTTTGAATGGCGTTCTTACCTCTTAGTTAACAGAAAATGTGGAAAGAGAAGAAATTGCAATACTTACGAGTACTTTCTTAAGCAAGGAAAGCATGCAGGGTCAATCAAAGTATCAGTAAATTAACTTATCATTTCAGCATTAAAACCAAACCCCTGTTTTCTTACAGCCCTGCATTAAATTCATTCTCTTCGGTGCATGGTGACATCTTGCCTATTTGGTTCCAACTCTGATGTTAAAGAATAGACTTTTGAAAGAAAATTGAATTCTAGTCAACCATTTGTCAAGTAAAACTAGGAATTTATGGCCTTGGGAAAGCCAGGTTTAGGTAGAGAGTGATGCCTATCTGCTTTGTTCTCCCTCAGCGTGGGATCCACTTTTCCATAATCTCCCCACGGAAACTGCCAGCTCTGCGAATGCTCTTTGAGAAGGCTGTGACAGGGGGCATGTTGGATGTCCAGCTCAAAGACTACAGCCAGGACGCTCGGCACATGATCCTTATCCGTGGCATGGTCCTCCCAGGTAAGAAAACTGGCTTGGAAATGAGTAAGTGGTGACTATGTTACATACTACTGGCAGAGAAATCTGCTTCCTAGTGAATGAGGATGGTGCTGCAGGCTTCAAAACAGATAAATAATATACTAATGTGCTTTAATAGTCTACCCAGCATCGTAGTATGCATGGCAAGTATCAGGAGCCCCCTGTGGGTTAAACCCTTCTGCCAACAGGACTGCTGACCAAAAGGTCAGCAGTTTGAAACCAGGGAACAGAATGAGCTCCCATCTGTCAGCTCCCTATGTGGGAAGATGAGAGAAGCCTCTCAAGGATGGTAAAATATCAAATATCTGGATGTCCCCTGGGCAACGTCCTTGCAGACAGCTAATTCTCTCACACCAGAAGCAACTTGCAGTTTCTCAAGTCACTCCTGGCACAAATAAATAAGTATCAGATATCTATATTTTGTGGCATTAGAGCTGTGGCTCTGATTCTTGGAAGCACACATTTATTGTAGACTTTTCTAGTTTATTTCCCTCCTGAAATGCAGGGAGTAACATACAGCGATTTTCAGGGGGTCTCACTTTGGCACTAACATAGATTATCTTAGTTTTGGCATGATGCCTACATCTTAGACCTTAAAGTTGTGTCTCAGGACTCTCAGACTGATTGGTTTGTTGAAAATTTGCATGCTGCCTTTCCATTCATACACTCAAGCTGACTGGTGACCTTTAGAAAAATGCATTTGCACTCAGTCTGTACATACATTTCATGATAAAGATGGTAAATATGATAAAGATGGTGGTGGCAAAAAGTGTGAGCATCCAGATGCTGTTGGACTTGAATTCCTATTAGTGTAATGGTGTAGGAGAAGGCTAGGGGTTAGAACAGGCATGGGCAAACTTGGGCTCTCCAGGTGTTTTGAACTTCAACTCCCACAATCCCTATCAGCTTACTGGCTGTTAGGAAATATGGAGGTTGAAGTCCAAAACACCTGGAGGGCCAAAGTTTTCCCATGTCTGGGTTAATCTTTTAAAATCTGCTATTAGTGCTTAGTCCATTTTCAAAAAGAAAAAGGGGGCTTTCGTGCTCTGCTGCAAGTAGTTAGATGCAGTCCAGAGGCGTGGGTGGGGGGATATGGGGAGGGGGAAAAGCTAGAGGAACACACACTCCTGATGATGACAAATGCCACCCTTTGCTTCTTTGTTTACAGTAGGAGGAGGAACCACTGCCAACCCTTTGCAGCCCAAACAGACTGTCCCCCAACCCCAGCTTCCCCCGGTGCCAGCACAGCTCCCTGCCGCCCCACCACAAACTATGCCTGCAGTCTCTCAGCCGTACCAGGTACTTCTCTTGCCTCCAAAGGCTGGCGAGGAAAGGATATTGCTTCCTAAAAGCTTCTCCTGGCATTGACCTCTGCTGTCTTTCTTTAGGTGGCAGCGTCTTCAACACTAACTGCAGCCCAGGCAGCAGCTCAGTCTGCTGTAGAAGCCGCCAAGAACCAGAAAGCCCAGAGCACCCGTTGTAAGTTCTTGTCTCCCGCTCAGGATGGTGGTGTGAAAATAGCACCTTGCAGAATAGGGGTGTGGGCTCTGTCTAAGTAGCTAATGTATTAATGATACTAGGGTTAGGCTACAATTAGGAACAAAATGACAGAGAGTCTGCAGAGGGGAAAAAAACATGAGAGATGCTCCGCCAGTGGGGTGATCTGTTTGAGAGAATGTTCCAAAATGCCAATTGTAGCAAGTCATTTTGGGGGTTTGTGGGATTTTAAGCTAATGTGATTTGAGACTCTTTGGTAAATATGTAACTATTCTGAACTTGCACTTAAAGCAGTGCTATTCAGTGTAGTAGTCTGTGGACCAGTGCTGCCCATCCTAGGTGAATCCCCAAGAATAAACAATATTTATTTATTTATTTATTTATTTTGGGTACTTCTACCCCACCCTTCTCAACCCCCTAAGGGGGACTCAGGGCGGCTTCCAACCGGTATACATTGATGCCTACAATTCACACAATAAAATACCTAGTAACAATAATTATAACAATTAAAACATTACATTAATACAATAAAAATACAATAAAATAGTAGCCAATGGGCATATATAAGGTATGGTTCTGTTACATTGGAACACAAAAGTCTTAATGTAAAATGTATTGTCCTGAAGGAAAATTCCTTCATGTACATCAGTGTTTCTCAACCTGGGGGTTGGAATCCCGGGGGGCGGGGTTGTGAGGAGGGTTTCAGAGGAGTTGCCAAAGACTATCAGAAAACACATATTTCTGATAGTCTTAGGAACCCCTTTGGCAGTGAAAGCTGAAGATGTCTCTGCCTATCCTTCTTTTCCTTTTTGGAAACAGACTGTGAATCCTCTCACCAAAAGCCCTCCTCCTGCTGTAATTGGCCGGCTGCTCAGCTGGACTCACAGCCAAGGGGAGGACTGTTTCTGAGACTCCAAGTGGGGAATGGAGAGCAAGCGTGTCAAATTCCTCCCAAATACCTCGAGTATTTTCAGTTGGTCATGGGAGTTCTGTGTGGGAAGTTTGGTCCAATTCTTTTGTTGTTGGGTTTCAAGAGACTCTTTGATTGTAGGTGAATTATAAATTCCAGTGACTACAACTCCCAAATGTCAAGGTCTATTTCCCCCCAAACTTCACCAGTGTTCACATTTGAGCATAATGCGTATTCATGCCCAGTTTGGTCCAGATCCATCATTGTTTGAGTCCATAGTGTTCTCTAGAGGTAGGTGAACTACAACTCAAAAATTCAAGGTCAATGTCCACAAAACCCTTCCAGTGTTTTCTGTTGGTTATGGGAGTTCTATGTGCCAAGTTTGGTTCAGTTCCAGTGTTGGTGGAGTTCAGAATGCTCTTTGATTGTAGCTGAACTATAAATCCTAGCAACTACAACCCTCAAATGACAAAATCAATCCCCTCCCAACCCCACCAGTATTCAAATGTGGGCGTATCGGGTATTTGTGCCAAATTTGGTCCAGTGAATGAAAATACATCCTGCATATCCAATATTTATATTACGATTCATAACAGTAGCAAAATTATAGTGATGAAGCAGCAACAAAAATAATGTTATGGTTAGGGTTCACCACAACATGAGAAACTGTATTAAGGGGCCACAGCATTCGAAAGGTTGAGAATCACTGATGTACATGTACATACGATTTTCTGGCATAGAATAAAAGCTTTCCTATAAGTTCTCCTATCCACTTTCTTGTATATGCCTGCAGTTGGTGCAGATATGTTAGTGTGGAAGAAAGTCTGCAAATTCAGGGGTGGAAAAAACGACATCACACTAAGTCACTGAATCTTCTAATAGTGGTAATTTGGGGCCCTTTGCTCCTACTGTTGAATCAGGGAGCAAAACATGAAGGGATGGTGCAAAACAAGGGTCTCTGTGAGACTAGAGGAAGGAGCAGTTATTGTGAAACAAGAACTGGGTGAAGTTAAGAATGTTAGTTTCCCATGCTTTCTCTTTCTTATCCATAGTCACCCCCATGAACCCCATGCAGCCAGCCTTCAACCAAGCTCCCCCACAGACGCTCCAAGCGGGCTCGGTCCCAGCCATGCCTCAAAAGCTCCCTGTGTCTTCTCCATCCAGCCTGGTCTCCACAGTCACCACAGGCTCCGGCCTTCTCGTCCAGCCACCCGTACAAGCCCCTCCACAGTCTGGTGCTTCAACTATGGTATGTATAGGTGCTGACAATTCAAAGAGGAAGATTTCTTTGTATGTTCATTGGTTTTTCACTTTCAAAGATTGGAGATGTTACTTTTCTTAAAAAAAGAGTCATGCTGATGGGGAATTGTGGGAGTTGTCAACCTCAAAAGTAACTTTTCCAGCTTCTCCATTGCTGACACCCTTGTAACTGTCCCCTTTCCTCTTCCTCTGCTTCTATCCAGCCCAGCGTTGTTCCACCTATGACGGTGAGTCAGCCCTCACAGCCACAGATAGGCGCAGCACAGCAGTCAGTCACCAACAAGGTGATGGCATGGAGCGGTGTGCTGGAATGGCAGGAGGTGAGAGCTGAACCAGGGCGGGTGGGAGCACACTAAGAATAGGAAATTCTTCGCCTGACATGTTTTGACCGTCTGTCGCCGTGCCTCTTCCCTCAGAAGCCCAAGCCAGCTTCTGTGGATTCCAACACCAAACTTACTCGTTCCCTGCCCTGCCAAGTGTACGTCAATCAAGGAGAAAACTTGTGAGTGTCTATCTTTTGTCATTGAAAGTTGTGGAGGGGAGGGCACAGCTGTGAAGAAGAAGCATGAAGGTTTCAGGGGAAGCATGAAGGTTTCAGGCAGAACTCCTATTCTTCTGGGTGTAGCAGCAAGTTGGTGGAAGGGTGAGAGACAGTGAAGTATGGTCAAGTAAGGGGAGACACCTACCAGCACTGTAGTGGGCATGAAACTCTTGATCCCAGCACATCAGTGAGATCGCTGTAAGGTTTTGGGTTTTTTAATGTATGTAAATAAATGTGTCCTGGGGTGCAGGAACATATGCCCCGTGTTTAAGGTAGTAACACAATTGTTGCCTCTTCTGTTTGGTATATGAAGTGTATGTTATTGTGCTCTAAGAGAGTCACTAAACTAGGAATGGAGAACTGTGGCCTTCCAGATATTGTTAGACTTCAGTTCCCATTAGTCCCAACCAGCATAGCTTTATCAACAGATAGGTAAAGACATTAAGTCTAGCTGTGCCTGACTCGGGGGTGGTACTCATCTCCATTACTAAGCTGAAGAGCCGGCATTGTCCATAGACGCCTCCAAGGTCATGTGGCCCGTATGACTGCATGGAGAGCTATTACCTTCCCACAGAAGCGGTACCTATTATCTACTCACATTTGCATGTTTTTGAACTGCTACGTTGGTAGAGGCTGGGCCTAACAGTGGGAGCCCAACCCCACTTCCTTGATTCGAACCACCAACCTTTCAGACATCAAGTTCAGCAGCTTAGCGGTTTAACCCACTGTGCTGCCAGACAGCCCGTATCTACAGATAATGGAAGTTATATTCCAGCAGTAGCTAAAAAGCCAAAGATTTCCCACGTCGAAACTCTGAAAGCTGATTGGGGAAAGTACTTTATCGTTTGAGAAATTAGACTTTGTGTAATTTTTAGAGCAGGGTCTTCTCAGTGGTTGCTGCTGTACAGTGGCCTCCCCATCAAAATCCCCTGTTTTGGCTGTTTTTATTTATTTATTTATTTATTTATTTTGTATGCTTATATACCGCAATATCTCAGCCTACAACGGCGACTCATTGCGGTTAACAGTACTTAAAAACAACAATAATCAAACAATTTAAAAGCATAAAAAACATATAGAGTACACAGTATCGGGCCACCAATACCGACCAATGCATCTCTTAGTTAAAATCATAATCCGAATTCATCGTCAATAATTACCAGTCCTTGTCATCAACTTCATCGCACCGGGTTACCCGAATGCTTGTTTTTCAGCATGGTGACCCCCAAATATAGATACCTGAAATGTATTGTATTTCCATTGCTGTTCTTTATAAAGTATTTTATTGTTTTTATAATTATTGTTTAAATTAGTTAATTTCATAACTAAACTATTTTTAAAAATACATGTAGATACATTTCAACAGGCAATGTACTTAAAGCAAGTAAGATCTGCAACAAAACCTTGCACTATATTTGACATTTCAGTCAGCCAACCAGTTGGGTATTTGATTCAATTCTTTTCTCTTGCCTGGTTCTCTGTTTATGTCACCAGCAACCAGTCAGCATCCTGTAGCCTTTGAGCATGCTCATTCCTCATTGGGCTCCTTGTGTGGATCCGCTCCACTTGTGTTTTCCCTTCCTGAAATATTATTTTTACATTTCTGTAAGTGTTGGGAGTTTCCCTGAGATTGCGGCTATCTTTGCCTTGGGCGAGATGGTGCTTTTTTAGCTCCATAAGGAATGGTATGCAGATGAGTTCAGCATTTGTAAATGTATCATAATGTAATCTTGACACTGAAGAAGAGCTGATCTGCCTCTATTTTGCTCCATTCCAGGAAGGCGGAGCAGTGGCCCCAGAAGCTCATTATGCAGCTGATCCCACAGCAGCTCTTGGTAAGCAAAGTGTTTGTACTGGCTATGAACACCACCTGAGCTAATCAAAATCGTATCTCCCTTAAGAATTGTATCTTTCCTAATTACAGATAGTCAGAAGATGTAGTACATTTGGCCCTTGCTATCTGCTCGAGTTTGGCTCTGGGAACCCCAGTGGATACCCAGATCTGTATATGCTCAAGTCCCATTATAGCCAATACCATAGTAAAATAGTGTGCCTTATGAAATGACAAATCAAGGTTTGCTTTCAAGATTTTTTTTAAAGTCAAGCCAAGGATGATTGAATTCATGGATACGAAATCTGTGGATAAGGAGGGCTGGTTGCATAAATCTTTTTGTATCAAACTAGATAGGCCTGTGGGTTTGGAATTTATTTGCTGTATATACTTGAGCATAAGTTGAGTTTTTCAGTCCTTTTTTAAGGCTGAAAAAGCCCCCTCCCCCCCTCCCCCCCCACCTTGGCTTATGCTCGAGTCAAGGTTATTTATTATTTTACTCTGTTATTATTATTTTTATTAAATTTATTATATTACTCTGTTTATTATTATTATTATTATTATTATTATTATTACAGTTACATCATTTTACTCTATTTTTATTTTTATTACATTTATTATTTTGCTCTATTATTATTATTACATTTATTATTTTATTATTATTGTGACATTTATTATTTTTCTTTTATTGTTATTGTTATTAATACATTTATTATGTTACTCTATTATTATTGGAAGGATACATAAGCGCATTTACATTGAAGGAGGTTATAATAATGATTTAATCAGAGTTGTACAATCTTATCTTAAATTACAATTTTATGTAAATATTCAAAAACATTTAACCTACTAATGCCTCAACTAATGTAATTTTATTGGCATCTATTTTTATTTTGAAATTTACCAGTAGCTGCTGCATTTCCCACCCTCAGCTTCTAGAGTCAATACGTTTTCCCAGTTTTTTGTGGTAAAATTAGGTGCCTCGTCTTATACTCATTTATATATGATACAGATTGGCTGTATTATCCAGCTCTACACAGCTGCCAGCTACATGTGCCCTGGACAGGGCCTTCTTCCTCAAGTTTTCTCATGAGAAATTAACCTGATATTGAACTTTCTTGCATATTATACAGTGGTTCCTAGATGCTTTTTATGGTCAGATCACTCTTAACCTTTCAGATTTGCTTTTGAAAACATTTTGTGTTACAGAATACTGCTTAAATTCATCATCCTTGTCTATTTATAATTACTTATAGATTGGGGGTTATGCAAGCTCAGGATCCTATTTAATTGACTTCTGTTGGTCTCTTGCAGACAACGCTGGGCCATCTGTTCCGAAACTCACGCATGGTTCAATTTCACTTCACCAACAAGGACCTGGAATCACTGAAGGGACTCTACCGCATCATGGGCAATGGATTTGTAAGGCACTATAGTTGGTGTGGGACAGGTTGTGAGGGTTGACTTTCTCCAGGAAAAGATGGGATCTCCCCAGGTGATCAAGTCAAGTCAGTCAGCCTTCTTTCAGATTTAAAACCTCTTTGATGACTGAAACAGTCAAACAATTAATGGTACTCTATTGACGGTTGAGAGAAGACATGATAGCCATGTTTAAATATTTGAAAGGAAGAGGTGGAGGAGGTTTGTTTTCTGCTGTCCTTTAGACTTGGACTCAGAGCAATGGGATCAAATAACAGAAAGGGAGGTTCCACCTGAACAATAGGAATAATTGTGGAACTCACTCCCTAGTGGAATTAGATCAGCCCCTTCCCTCTTATCATTTCGTAAACAAACAAAAACTTGGCTTTGGATGCAAGCATTTGGCCCAGCATAATTATCTGTTCAATACAGTTGGAATTGGCTTTGGATTGATGAATATGATTATCTGATTATCTGGCTTTAGATATATGCACAATAGTCATCTAATGTTTCCATGTGTTGTTTTGAATTGTTGTTTACTTGCTTTTAATTGTTGTTGTTCGGGCATGGAATAAATACCACTCATGTAAGCCACCCTGAGTCCCCTTCGGGGTGAGAAGAGCAGGATATAAATATCTTAAAAAAATAAATAATAATAAATAACTTCCTGACCATAAGAGCTGTTTATCAGTGGGACTTACTGCTTTGGAGAATGATGGAAGCTCCTTCTTTGGATGCTTTTCAACAGAGGCTGGGTGGCCATCTGTGGGGGAAGCTTCGATTGTGCTTTTCCTGCATAGCAGTGGGTTGAACTGGATGGCTGTTGTGGTTTCTTTCAATTCTATGATTCCAGTTCCACTCAAACTTTGCTCTTACACTTGGGTATTGATGGTGGTGACATTTGCTCATGGGGAAGTCTTGGCATTGTGGCCAGTGATATTTGGCTTCAGAGAATAGTATCTTTCTTATGAGTGGGACTTTTTAGTCATGGAGCAAATCCTTAATCTTATTAAACAGGTTTCTTAAAACTCTTTCAGGGTGGGCTAGGTAATTGTGAGGGGTAAGAATCTGCCCAACCAGATTCTTTAGCAAATGTTTCGTTCTTGTCATACGAGCAGGCGGGCTGCGTTCACTTTCCTCACACTACGCCCTGTGAGGTGCGGGTGCTGATGCTGCTGTATTCTTCAAAGAAGAAAATCTTCATGGGGCTCATTCCTTATGACCAGAGTGGCTTCGTCAATGGCATCCGGCAGGTCATCACCAATCACAAGCAAGTTCAGCAACAAAAGGTAGGCGGCTGACACGCAGGACATCTTGAGGAAAGGACCTTGGGGGCCGTTTAATCAAATGCACTGGATCTTGCTAAATCTTTTAGCTCTCTTTATCTTTCTAACACAACTCTCTTCCATCTCAAGTTGGTGCCAAAAATAATGGTACATCAATTCCCAGCATCACATATGACTCATGTTTGACGCATGTATTCTCATCCCTTCATAAGAATAGGTGAGAGGGTGAGAGATAGTCAGATATAAGCTATTTAGAATGCATTTACATTTGAAAAAATCAACAATAGTTACCCATCTCTTATTACCATACATATTCGAGTATAAGCTGAGTTTTTCAGCCCTTTTTTAGGCTACTCCCCCCTCCCTTGCTTATACTCGAGTTCGTTATTTATCATTTTACTCTGTTGTTGTTGTTGTTATTATTATTATTTTATTACATTTATTATATTACTCTATTATTATTATTACATTTACATTATTTTACTGTATTATTATTATTACATTTATTATTTTGTTCTGTTGTATTACATTTATTATTTTGCTCTACTATTACTGTTATTAATACATTTCCATTATATTATTATATTACATTTATTATATTACTGTATATATTATTATGATTACATTTATAATTTTTGTAATGCTTTTTATTATATTACATTTATTATTTTGCTCCATTATTACTGTTATTATTAYGTTTCCATTATTTTACTCTACATTTATTATTTTGCTCTATTTCTGTTATTATTACATTTCCATTATATTATTATATTACATTTATTATATTACTGTATATATTATTATGATTACATTTATAATTTTATAATGCTTTTTATTATATTACATTTATTATTTTGCTCCRTTATTACTGTTATTATTACGTTTCCATTATTTTACTCTATTACTGTTACTTTTATTACATTTATTATTTTACCCTCTTTATTATTATTGGAGGTGTACATAAGAACATTTACATTGAAGAAGGTCAGAATAATGGTTTAATCAGAGTTGGACAGTCTTATCTTAAATTACAGTTTTATGTAAATGTTGAAAAACATTTAACCTACTGATGCCTCAATTAATGCAATTTATTGGTATCAATTTCTATTTAGAAATTGGCCAGTAGCTTCTGCATTTCCTACCCTCGACTTATACTTGAGTCAATACGTTTTCCCAGTTTTTTGTGTTAAAATTAGGTGCCTCGGCTTATATTCATGTTGGCTTATACTCGACTATATAGGGTATATAATTTGGATTAGTCATGGACTGGAGTTTAGCAGATTTCAAGTCCTGATCCAGTTTTCTGTGCAAGTTGGTTTTTAGACCAGGGGTAGAAAAATGTGGCTCCCTGTATTTTTTGGACTGCAGCTCCCATCATTCCTCAATACTGGTTGGGCTCCTGGAACTTACGGTCCAATAACATCTGAAGGGTGATATCATCCCTAACCAGACCAGTGTTCTATAAGTTATCTGATATAGAGGAATGGCAGGATTCTTTTTCTGAGGATGTCAGGATACCATATTTGTGCCCATTGTAGAGTTTCCTGAAAGCTCTCCAGGGATCAGCAGCTGATGACTCATGGACCAGCACCAATCAATGGACCACTGTATCATGTAGCACTATCTTAGACTAATTTTGCTCCCCTAAGGCCTTCTTAAGGAGAAACTTGGGCTGCCTTTTTTGCTGACATGATGCCAGCCACCACTTCTGCAGTGGTCCCTTTTCCTGGCTTTGCATCTTCACTATCTTTTCTCCTTGACACCCCCCCCCCCTCTTTGTTTGCTTCCTGCTATGTTTCCTTTCTTTACAGCAGATGGGGGGCTCTCAGCCTTTGGGGTCAACACCCAATACCCAACCTTTCCTGACAAAACAGCCTGTCACTTTACCAGTGACACAGGGAGTCCAGCAGCAGGTGAGAAGATGGATTGAGAGAAATGCAGGGGAACAGATACACAAAGAAGGGAAGCTACTTACTGGGAGTTAGTTTTGGTTTGGAATTGCATCACTGGTTCTCCCCATTCTGCCAGGTCTGATGTCTCCCCCTTTTTTCCTTCTAGATGGGAGGACAGCAGGTGAGCCCTGGTATGCCTCAGGTAGGGATTATGGAAGAACAGCAGCGGCAGCAAGGCCTGGTGAGTCTTTTTGCAGAGTTAGGAGCCTTACTACACAAGATAGCTGCAGAGTAGAAAATGACACGATTGCTATCTTTTTTTTTTTGTTTGTTGGTTTGGTTTTTACTTGAGGTGTGTAATATCCCAAAGCAGCCAAGTTACTTTGACACATGAGGGAAAAAGAAATTTGGCAAGCACCTGTTGCTATCACCGTGAGGAAAAGTACAATAAAAATAAATAAGTTAAAAAATTACAAAATAAAGTATTATTCTGCCAAATGATGAAGTTGTTCAGGTTGCAGGTTTTTCTTTTGTGTGTGTGTGTGTGTGTGTCAGGCACAACTTGAGAAACTGCAAGTCACTTCTGGTGTGAGAGAATTGGCCGTCTGCAAGGATGTTGCCCAGGGGANCGGCTGCACTAGCCTGAGAAACTTCCAATAGCCAAACCCAGCTTTTCAAAGCCTCAAAGTTTTGCTTCACAATCAGAATCTGGGTTGTTGAAGGCTTTCATGGCTGGAATCACTGGGTTGCTGGGAGTTTTCTGGGCTGTATGGCCACGTTCCAGAAGCATTATCTCCTGACGTCTCACCCACATCTATGGCAGGTATCTTCAGAGGTTGTGAAGTTGTCACATAGATGTGGGCGAAATGTCAGGAGAGAATGCTTCTGGAACATGGCCATACAGCCCAGAAAGCTCCCAACAACCCAGAAATCAGAATAGTTTTTCAGTATTGACTCAATCTGTGGGTTGACCTAACATTATCTGATAAGGTTGTTTTTTTGTTAAATTTCCAAAACACCCCATGTGCAAAAGGGTAATGTAACATTTGGCCTCTTGAGCAAGTGGCCCTGTACACAAGATGCTGTTTACCCAAGACGTTTCCATCAGACACAATCAAGATTACCTAACGGGGGTTTGCAACTAACTGTTGCGAATGCCCCACCTTGCGACAGGTATTGCTTTCCAAAGAAACAAACCTAAGGCAAGAGAGGTGAAATGTCAACTGTGGAAATGGAGGGGAGGGGCGAAAAAAAGAGTTGTAACTGACACATATGTGTGGAACCTGTAATACTCGGGGGGAAACAGCACACTGTTTTCTTTCCTTTCCTTCTCTCCCACCTTTCCTTTCCTTCTCTCCCAACTCCTAACTCCTCACTCCTCTAAACCTAACTCCTGACTGCTCACTCCCCTAAACCTAAACCCTAACTGATTTTTAACTGTCGTTTGTTCAAACTCTCCCCGCTAAGCTCCTCCCACTTCCCTCTCTCCAGCATCGGTCTCCATGGCAACGCCCATGGAGGACTCCTCTGACTTAGGCCGCTCCAGCATTACTGCAGCCAATCTAAACACAAATACAGTTAAAATCATACAATTTATAATCAACTCCTGTACACCTTCCCCCACAGAAAAATTATTTTTGGGCCATTCTCACTCCCGGAATGGGCAAAAATAATTCCACAAATTATCCAACAATATCTAAATACACAATATTTCTGAAAGGCAATCACAATATGGTTAAATATATTATAATGCATATATACAAACCTTTTACCATACGAAATTCTAGATAAGGCGTCTGCGACTATGTTTCGTTTACCTGAAGCATGTTTAATTTCAAATGTAAAATCCTGTAAACATAAACTCCATCTCAATAATTTGTTATTCGTACCTTTTACATTATCTAGCCATCTTAATGGAGCATGGTCCGTTTGTAAGGTAAACTTTCTCCCCCACAAATATGGCTTTAATTTTTTTACTGACCATATGATGGCATAGCATTCTTTTTCAATCATTGACATGTTATATTCATTGGAATGCCATTTTTTACTCAAAAACAAAATAGGTCTGTCCTCACCCTCTACATCTAACTGGCTTAGGACAGCTCCTAGCCCAGTATCCGATGCATCACATGTTAGAATAAAAGGTTTATCAAAATCTGGCGCAATTAGGACCGAATCCGAAGTAATGGCTTTCTTCAATTGATCCATGGCAGTTTGACAATTTGGAGTCCAAATTACCTGATTCGGGTTCTTCTTTTTGGTAAGATCCGAAAGAGGGGCTGCCAAATCACTAAAAGATGGAATGAATTTACGATAGTATCCAGCCAATCCAAGGAGTGCCCTAACCTGTTTTTTTGTTTTGGGCACAGGCCACTGGTGAATAACTGCCACTTTAGTAGGGTCAGGTCAAATACAACCTCCTCCCACTAAATGTCCTAAATACTTGGTAGTATTGTATCCTAACTTGCACTTGGAAGCTTTAATAGTTAACCCTGCTTCCCTCAACCTACTTAATACCAGATCCAAATGTTCAAGGTGAGCTTCCCATGAATCACTGAAAATCCCTATATCATCGATATAGGCCACGCAGAAAGACCCCAGCCCACTTAAAACTCTGTCCACTAATCTCTGAAATGTGGCTGGGCTGTTCTTTAACCCAAATGGAAGTACGGAAAATTCAAATAGCCGATTTTGGGTCCGGAAGGCGGTTTTATGTTGATCCTGTGGTGCCATGGGCACTTGCCAAAATCCTTTGGTTAGATCTATACTACTAATAAAATTGGCCTTCCCCATCCTTTCCAGCAAATCATTCAAACATGGCATAGGATAAGTATCTGTTTGGGTTACCTTGTTTAATTGCCTATAATCTACACAAAATCTAATTGTCTTGTCTGGCTTCTGTACTAATACTATGGGTGAAGCCCAAGAGCTAATCGATGGAACAATGATACCTAGGTCCAACATTTCTTTAATCTCCCTTTCAATACATTCATTGGGTCTCCCTGTGACCCTGTAGGGTGGACATACTATAGGAGCTACATCACCGGTGTTTATTTGATGCTGGACTCCCTGGACCTTTCCTGGTAAATCTGAAAATATATCTTTATATTTACTCAAAATTTCCACAACCTCTCTTCGCTGTGGTTGGGACAATTCACTGTTTATTTCTACCCGATCCAAATTTTTGTATTGTTCACGATCACCCTCCCAAAAAGAAAAGGGACCGGATTCTTCTTCCGAAACAACAAAATAAACATTAGCAGACCTTCTAACATAAGGCTTTAACATGTTTACATGAACTCTTCTTTCCACATTTGAATGTTCATCATAAATATCATAGTTTATTTGATTGTGTTTCCTGGTGATCTTCCAGGGTCCCGACCAATCTAATTGCAGTTTGTTGGTTTTGTTGGGAGATAAAAACAAAACTTCATCTCCGATGTTGAAGATCTTTGGCTTAGCAGTAGAATCATAATAGTCTTTTTGTCTTTGCTGAGCTGCAAGCAAATGTTCTTGTGCAATGTCCCTAGCCAGTTGCATTGTTGATTGAAGATCCTTTAGGTACTCCGACACTGGAACTGGATCTGTTGCTGGATTTTCCTCCTAGTATTCCTTTATCAGGTCTAATGGACCATGAGCTTTCCTTCCATATAGCAATTCAAGCGGACTGTAGCCAGTACTGTCATGAGGGACGGTCCTGTAGGTGAATAACAGTTGTTGTACTTTGACGTCCCAGTCGTATGGCTTCTTTTGACTGTAAGACTTTATCATTTTGACTAAAGTCTTGTTCAGATTTTCAACTAGTCCATTTGTCTGTGGGTGATAAGCTGTTGAAGTCAGGTGTCTGATTCCACATAACTCAAGCAATTTTGACATAAGTCTGGAAGTAAATTGAGTTCCCAAATCAGAAACCAATTCTCTAGGATAACCAGTTCTTCCCCAAATGGATAACAGTGCATTTGCAATCGTTGTTGTCTCAATGTTAGTTAGAGCTACAGCCTCTGGATATCTTGTGGCGTAGTCAATCATGGTTAGAATGTATCTGTAACCACGTCTGCTTGGCTTACAAAGAGGACCAACTATGTCAATGCCCACTCTGTAAAATGGTTCTGCAATTACCGGCATAGGGATCATAGGAGCTTTAATTTTATCCCTTCCAGTACTCAATCTTTGGCAGATATCACAAGACTGGCAAAACTCTTTGATCTTCTGGAACATGCCAGGCCAATAAAAGTTTTTAGTGATCCTCTTTGTGGTTTTCCTCACGCCCAGATGACCACCGTGAGGGTTCTCGTGTGTCGCCCTCATCAGCTGTTCTCTAAAACTTTGAGGCACTACAATCTGATTACATGTCATTGATCCTTCTGTTGACTTCATGTTTCTGGTTTCTCTATACAAGACACCATTCTTTAACACAAACTTGGAGGGCTGCCCTTTTGCTGATACTGTGAGGTTTTGAGCCAAAGCGAACAAAGGTTTTAGAAATTCATCTGCTCTTTGTTCCTGTTGAATTTCTCTGACTCCTCCTGTCTTCTTAATAAGCTCAGCAACCATAGTGCTGGATTCTGGATTCTCATCCCCCTCCTGTTGTATGGCGAAACACATGGCTTTTTGATCAGGGCTTTTGCTGTTATATTCTTCCTCCTCACACATCATTCTCCACTTTCCAATCTTTTTAGCCAGATCATTTCCAATTAAACACCTGTATGGTATGTCTGGACTGACTGCAAAATCCCACATACCCTTCCAACCTCCATATTCTATTGGCAAAGACACTACTGCTGTTGGTATTGCAGGTCCCAAGCCTTTTAATCTTATTTCAGAGGTAGGATGCTGAAATTTCTGAGGTATTATATCTGGATGTATAATACACACATCAGATCCTGTGTCCCGCCACCCTCTCATGTCTTTGTTGTCAATGGAAATGGATTCTAAGTAATCCTCAGTTGCGGTGTTTGACAAAATGAACAAACATTGTTTCTCTTGAGGCACCGTTTCCGAACTCTCCTTTGACACAGTATTTGGTTCTGTTTTCTTTGTTTCTTTTACTTTATTAACGAAGAGGGTTGTCTTTTCTTTTCTTAAAAGGGGACATTGATACCTTATATGATCCCACTTTCCACACTGAAAACACCTAATTTTTCCCTCAGGAGCAGTTTGACTTGTTACACTCTGCCTCCTCCAGGAGGGGTTTTCTATTGCAGGACCTTTTCCTTGTTGTGGGCGCGTTTGATGTTGGTAAAATGGCTGCCTGTTTGTCCTTTTATCATTTGGCAGATCTTCCCTTTTGAATCCTTCTTTTAGGGTAATTAATTGATCTACCATAACCGCTGCCTCTACTACAGTGGATGGCTTTCGATCCTGTACCAGCCACCGAAAATCGGAAGGTATCAATTGGAAAAATTGTTCCAATTTTAAAAGTTCTCTCAGTTGTTGGTAATTTTCCACCTCAGACGTCCTTAGCCAACTATCGAACAGTTGAGACAATCTAGAGGCCACCTGAGCGAAACTTTGGTTCTTATCTCTTTTCAGAGTCCTGAACTTGAATCTGTAAAATTCAGGTGTTAATTGAAATTTCTGTTGAACCTGTCTCTTAAATAAATCATAATCCCCATAGGACTCCTCAGGCATTTCTCCATATATTTCTAAGAGCTTTCCACTTATTTGAGGCCTTAAGTACGTCATCCATTTTTCCTCAGCAACTCCAAAATCTTTACAACATCGCTCAAACAAGGTTAGAAACTTCTCTATATCGTCATCCTTAGTAAATTTAGGAAATACTAGGTTCTTGTAGGTTTTTTCGAGCTATAGGGCCATGTTCTAGAGGCATTTCTCCTGACGTTTCGCCTGCATCTATGGCAAGCATCCTCAGAGGAAGTGAGGGGGGGTGGTGGGCTAATTTTTTGCTTTTGCAGTTCAATTTCCATTCTCCTCAATTCTATCTCCTGTTCTCTCTCTTTTTGTCTTTCCTCAAACTCTCTTTCCCTTTGTTTTGCCTCTATTTCCAATCGTTTCATCTCTAGTCTGTGCCATTTCTGACACAGACACTGGCTCTGTTTCTGCTTCAGAGCCCAAACTTCCTTCTTGGTCTCCCATTGTTTCCTCAACAAGTTTTTTCTGTCATCTGGTAGCCATATTTCAATAACTTTTACCTCACAAATTATTCTCAAAGTAGTCTTAAGGCACTCAATCAGTTGTTAATCGTATCCCGTCGTCTGCCACCAATTTGAAAAGAAGCAGGGGAGCTGGGGGATGATTTATTGTTGCCACCAATTTGAAAGGAACCAGTATTCAGGAGATTTTTCCCCAGTTCCCAATTTTAAAAAGACTTAGCCGACTTGCAATGGAGGTTGCCGATTAGGAACCAAATTTACCATCAAGTTAGAAGGGAGGCTGTTCAATTGCACCTCCTCCTTTATTAAGAAAGTAATAACTTAGTAATAATTACACTGTATATACTGTAGCGTGACTGGAGAGAAGAATGTAGATTTATTTGGTTACTTTTCCCTACGTTTCTGCCACCACGTGAGGTAAGTTGTAATATTGTGAGAAATTGCACTTTGGACTCAGAATAGACGGAGCTGAGGCAATCTTTAAATAAAAGTTAACAATTTTATTAAGTACACAGCGTGTGGTTGCAAGATGTAACTTTTCCTTGTTGCACTTGACCTGTTGCTATCACCGTGAGGAAAAGTACAATAAAAATAAATAAGTTAAAAAATTACAAAATAAAGTATTATTCTGCCAAATGATGAAGTTGTTCAGGTTGCAGGTTTTTCTTTTGTGTGTGTGTGTGTGTGTGTCAGGCACAACTTGAGAAACTGCAAGTCACTTCTGGTGTGAGAGAATTGGCCGTCTGCAAGGATGTTGCCCAGGGGACGTCTGAAACTTTTAATGCAATGGGTTAAACCCTTGTACTAGCAGGACTGAAGACTAACAGGTTGCAGGTTTGAATCCGTGGAAAGCGTGGATGAGCTCCCTCTGTCAGCTCCAGCTCCCCATGTGGGGACATGAGAAAAGTCTCCCACAAGGATGGTAAAACATCAAAACATCTGGTGTGTTCCCTGGGCAACATCCTTGCAGACGGCCAATTCCCTCACACCAGAAGTGATCTGCAGTTTCTCAAGTCACTCCTAACACCAAAACAAAAAAGTCTTTAATGCTAAGACAGCTTCCCAGCTGCTGTATGCTTCCAGCATCTGGATTGGGACCCTAACGTCAAAAATAGACCAACAGCAAACACAGTTTGTGAGGGCCCTTTTCCAACTCCCCAGATGTGTACTTGAATCTGGGGAAGCACTCCTGTCAATAAGAACCTGGTGGTGAGCACTTAAATATTGGCTCAAGATCAGAGGTTTTAGTTTAGGATCAGATATGATTCATCACTTAGCTCAGGATGAGTACATAAACAGTTGATTTAAGATCAATTCTAAAAAAGCCTCCTCCATCAGCTTTTCCGCATCCCTCCTAACTCATCTGAGTTTTGACATGGCTCTCAATCAATTAGAGAATCAATTAGCCTTTTGTGAGCTGTGCTCTCACTCTTATGTATCTTGCTCCCCTAGTACCCTGTCCATACATTTTGTTGGGCCTTTCCATGCAGCAAACTATCTAAAGAACTTGACTGTTGCCAAATACCGCTGCCTATTTTCCAAAGCAAGGTGCAATATACTCCCATCTGAATTGCTGTGTGGGAGATTTACAGGTACCCCATATAATAAAAGACTCTGTCCATGTAAAAATCAGGAAGTAGAATGCTTAGAATGTGATTTTCCTGCTTCTTGGCAGGGGGTTGGACTGGATGGCCCATGAGGTCTCTTCCAATTTAATAATTCTGTGATTCTATGAGTGCATCTACAACATTCTACTGTCACACAGTTTTTATGAACAGGCCCGAGCACATATAATCAACCCCCTTCTAAGAAACTTACCAGAATGTCCAATGAAATTTTATGTGAAGTTTCTAATTAGTGACAACCTTCCCCACGTGACCTTAGAGGTTTTTTTTTCTGAGGCAGCCAGGATTAGACAATTCCCAATGTTAGATACAGGCTGAAACACACCGGCACTTCTTGTAGTTGTTTACCTATGTTTTTAGCCAACATGCATTTTAAACAGTTTTTAACTGTTGTAAATCTTATCCGTTTTTGTGTTTAATCAACCAGATGTTCGTAATCTCATTACCTGCATACCTTGTTCACCTATGGTGCAATAAGGGCCTTTGGACCATAATAAAATGTTGTTGTTGTTGTTGTTGTTGTTGTTGTTGTTGTAACAAATACCCTTTCTGCAATCTGTTAACTGCAGAAGGTCCTACAAATATAGTTACAAACCATAGTGGAAAGTAGTCAGTCTCTGTCCAGAGTGTAGCACACATCTTTTTGACATCAGCTTCTCTTTAATGACTATGTTTGCAACATCTTTATGTGGAGCTATTCTTTGCTCCATACAAAGGTGTTCCATGTGACTCTCAAGGTCCATTTAATCTTGATTTATAATATTATAATGTAATACAATATAATACTAATAATAATATGATATTATAATTATATATTTATATTACATGTAATATTATTAATAATATTACAGTATAATGGTATAGTGCAATATAGTAATATATAATACTAATATTGTGCTATAGTAATAATATAATATATTGTATTTACATATTACTGAGTCCCCTTCAGGGTGAGAAGGGCGGCATATAAATGTCGTAAATAAACAAATAAGTTGACTCCTACTGAAAGAACTCTGGCAATCTGGTTTATGTGTTTGTTTGTTAGTTTTCTTTTCCCTCTCAGTTACAGCTCAGAGTTCAGCAACCTCAGCCCACTGCTCCTTCCACCAGCCAGCCCCCGCAAGCTCAAGTCCCCCCACAAGCTGGGCCGCAGGCTACCCAAGGAGGTGCTATGCTCAGACCCCAAAACCCGGGCGCCAATCCTCAACTCCGAAGCCTCCTCCTTAGCCAGCAGCCGGTAAGTCCTTATTAGGCATGTGCAATCAATTAAAAATATTTCAAAAGTCATTACAAGATTAGGGAGTGCCTCCGTTTCATGTTTCTAAAGGATATTTAGTGAAAATGTCATTAATATGGGAAGAGTAACGAAATTTCAATACTTTTTCATTATGTAATTGCGCATAATTGGGGAAATTTCCAGGGCGCCGTTCTCCTTCATTTTTACAGCTATTGGGGTGAAACTTGCAACAATGGTAGAACACTTTGACCACTGTTAGCCTATTAAGTTTCAGAATGTTTCACTTTTCCACAGGTTTTGGGGGAATTTTCAAAGTTTTTATAAATAATTTTTTAAAAAAAAAACTACAAGAGCTATCTTTTTGAATTTTCTATACAATTACACAAGATAACAGGGGATCATTCTACCGATTGTATGTGTTTTTTTAAAAAGCCACAACAGCTATCACATTGAATGTTTCTCATATATTAACAAATAGAAACCAATATTAACCATTTCGACATTTTCATAGAATCCTAGAGTAGGAGGGAACCCCCAAGGGCCATCTACTCCAACTCCCTTCTTCCAGGCAGAAGGACACCAGCAAAACTCACTTGACAGTTGGCCATCCAGCCTCTAAACTAATTATTATGCTTCCTCTATTGTGTTGGAAAAAACCCCCAATAGCCATCCATTTAGGGATTTCTTCTCAGCCCAGCATTGATTTACTTACTAGAAGTATCAATCAGTTCTCTGCAGATTCAACAATTTATTGGGACTCTGGCTGGCTCTACTATGGAGGGACATATATCTCCCCTCTCCTGATTGGGGCTTGCTGATGTGAGCAGAATTCTGGAAAATGTAGTTTAGGGCAGGGAGTTTTGCATTCTCCGTCATAGTGCTCCTAATCCCTCCTAAACTACATTCCCCAGAGTTCTGTGCTTTATTTCCCAGTGAATTCCCTGCTTTCTGTCTCCTAATGGCAAGAGGCGATTAATTTAAAGAGGAAAGTCAGCCTTCTTGGCTTTGCTTTGTTTCCTTGTGCTGAAAATAAAACTGACTTTGGGAGGATTTTGAGATTTACAAAATGCAAACAAAAAAGTCTTGCGTAAGTTTTGATTCTAAATTTTTGGAGTGGGTCATGTCCACATGCCAGATATCGCCTCGTAAGTACAAATTTAACAAATTTGATACGACTTACGAGGACTAAGAAAAAAAATGCACACCTCTAGTGCTTATCTCCCTCATCTCTCCCAAGTCTTCTTTTTCACTTGACCAAATTACTGGTCTTTATTTGGAATAATTGACAATACAGCTACGAGATAAAACATGAGATGTGGCATAGGCTAATCTGCCACTTAACCCAAGTAAAAGAGAGAAAATCCATAATATTCTCTTCCCTGAGAAGCCCAGAGGCCTAGGCAAGTGGACTGTATACACTGTCCACTTGTGGGATCTAGTACGTCAATATATATTGATGACCACTGAGTTAAAATGGAGGATAACTCAATAGTCATCAAAACTAAATTAGCTCACTCTCAAGGTAATAGAAGTCATTATTACCAGTATTAGAGATGTGATCCTAGCGTGTCTCTACATTCCTCTCATTGGGGAACAGGAGTAGAAAGATAGTATTCACACACACCTTGTCATTGCTTTCCAAGAGCCATGAAGATGGTCACTATGCAAATAGATTACTTGACTACATTGGCATTTAATCTGACCTAGCACTGTTCCTGTATTATATCCATATGTCCTCCCTCAGTAGAAGATTCACCGAGAGGGCACATCCTTCCATAAATCCAGGGGGATGGGTTCTGCAAATGGCTCATCCCTTTCTAGTGGAGATTACGTGACCCATTTCTTCTCACATCCTGTCCATCAGGATAATAGAGCTAATTGAGATCCAAGTTCTTAATCCTCTTTGTATATCTGATCTATCCTTTTCTCAAGGAAGGAATGGCAATGTGCTAATCAGGTTGGTCATATTGCCATTCCAATCAGGTTGGAAACCCCTCCCCCCCCCCCCCCCCAAATGTTGTTTAACATCTACATGAAGCTACTGGGGGAGATCATTTGGAGTTTTGGAGTTAGATATCCTCTGTACACAGATGACGTTCAACTCTATTACTCCTTTCCACCTACTGTTAAGGAGGCTGTTGAGATCTTGAACCAGTGCTTGGCAGCTGTGATGGTTTGGATGAGGGCGAACAAATTGAAATTGAATCCAGACCAGACAGAGGCACTCCTGAAGAGTCCAAAGGCCGAACAGGGTATAGGGTTACAGCCTGTGTTGGACGGGGTTACACTCCCCCTGAAGACACTGATTCACAGCTTGGTTGATCTCCTGAGTCTGGAACCCCAGATTTCGTCAGTGGCCAGGGCATCTTTTGCACAATTAAAACTTGTGCGCCAGTTGCAGCTGTACCTTGCGAAGTCAGACTTGGCCACAGTAGTCCACATAATAGATTATTGCAACGTGCTCTACATGGGGTTGCCTTTGAAGACTGTTCGGAAGCTCCAATTGGTCCAAAGGGAGGCAACCAAATTGCTCACTGGAACGAGTTACAGGAAACACACAACTCCCCTGTTGCATCAGCTCCACTGTCTGCCAGTCTGCTACCAAGCACAATTTAAAGTGCTGGCTTTGACCTATAAAGTCTTAAATGGTTCCAGCCCAGTTTACCTGCCCAAACGTATCTCCCTCTATGAACCATGTCGGAGGTTAAGATTGTCCAGGGAGGCTCTGCTCTCAGTCCCACCTCATTTGCAAGTGTGATTGATGGGAATGAGAGACAGGGCCTTCTCAGTGATGGTTCCTAGACTATGGAACTCCTTTTCTACCACAATTAGATGAGCATCCTCCCTCTTGGCCTTCAGGAAAAAAGTAAAAACATGCCTGTGGGACCAAGCCTTTGGGCAGTAAGCAATACAAGGAATGGACAGGGATTGTGTGCAATTGATATTTGATATTGGAATGGTCTTGGACTATGATTGTCAGACTATGTGATTTTAATGTTTATTTAATATGTTTTTAACTTCAGATTTTAATGTCTAAATGTTACTACTTTTTATGATTTAATTGATAGTTATATAACTGTTATTGTTGTTTTATGTTAGGTTTTTCGTACATATGTTAGGCATTGAATTTTGCTGTGAATATGTTGGAAACTGCACTGAGTCCCCCTCGGGCTAAGAAAACTGATATATAAATGAATAAATCTATAGAAATAAAAATGTAATGTTCATTTGTGGAATTAACATAACTCAAAAACCACTAGACGAATTGACGCCAAATTTGGACACAGTATGCATATCAGGCCAACAAGTGACCATCACTCATGAAAACACTGACAAACACAGCAGAAAATACTTAAAAGCCAAAAAAACCAAAAATTGCGCTCCAACGCAAAACCACACACGCAAACACACATATATATACATATACACATACACATATACACACATGTTGTTCATTCGTTCAGTCACTTCCGACTCTTTGTGACCTCATGGACCATCCCACCCCAGAGCTCCCTGTCAGCCATATACACACCTATGCACACACACAAAGCACATATACACAGACTGGGCCATAGCAACGCATGGCAGGAGACAGCTAGTAAATAAATAAACAAGAAGTGGACTTTTTAGGTCTTACCTGCTATCCCTTCTTTCTTTCCCTCATGTACAGCCCCAACCTGGAGTTCCTCAGTCCCAGCAGCCCCTCCACCACCTCCAACAGGGTTCTCCGGGAATGTTACCACACCAAAACATGGGGCAGGCTCTAGGGCATCAGCCTCCAGGACAGCAGCAGCTCCAACTCCCTGGACAGCCCCTCATGCACCAAGCCCCTGGGCAACAGTGGCCAGGACAGATGGCACCACGGGCACCTTTGCAAGGTACAATATGCTATATTTGTGTAAAATAATAGAAGACTGCAAAAGAGGAACTGCCTCCTTACTATCTGTATTTGGAAATTAGGGAAGGATCTCTGTGATTTTATTAAAAGGCCAGTGAGCTTCTCTCTACCCCAACTATCAAGAGTCATTGACTTTCAAGAGAGAGAAAAAAATCAAGTGGGAAAGCCACATATGAGTGTGTGTATGCCTTAATTGGGAGCCCCAGTGGCGCAGTGGGTTAAAGCACTGAGCTGCTGAGCTTGTTGATCAAAAGGTCGCAGGTTCAATTCCGGGGAGCGGCGTGAGCTTCCGCTGTCAGCCCTAGCTTCTGCCAACCTAGCATTTCGAAAAAATGCAAATGTGAGTAGATCAATAGGTACCGCTCCAGCGGGAAGGTAACGGCGCTCCATGCAGTCATGCCGGCCACATGACCTTGGAGGTGTCTACGGACAACGCTGGCTCTTCGGCTTAGAAATGGAGATGAGCACCACACCCCAGAGTCAGACATGACTGGACTTAATGTTAGGGGACTGCCTTTACCTATGCCTTAATTGAGCGATTACATGGTATTCATACCTTCCTATGGGATAAGGTGAAGGTGAAGGTTTCCCTTGACATTGAGTCTAGTTGTGCATGACTCTGGGGGGTGGTGCTCATCTCCATTTCTAAGCCGAAGAGTCGGCATTGTCCATAGACGCCTCCAAGGTCATGTGGCCAGCATGACTGCATGGAGCGCTGTTCACTTCCTGCCAAAGCTGTATCTATTGATCTACTCACATTTGCATGTATTCGAACTGCTAGATTGACAGAAGCTGAGGCTAACAGTGGGAGCTCACCCCACTCCCCGGATTCGAACTGCCAACCTTTCAGTCAGCAATTTCAGCAGTTTAAAACGCTGTGCCACCAGGAAGCCCTGTTTAATTGAGATAGTTATGCTATATATAAATTAACATAATGCCTAGGTGAGGCCTTTCTGAACATGGTGCCCTCTATGTTTGCTGGGGATGATGAGAGTCGTAGCCAGGAGAGTGACCCAGTTTGAGGAAGATTGTCTCAAGGGTAAATTCTGGAGTGATATTGCCACCTGAAGCTCAGGTTGGGATCCACTGAGTGACAGGAACAATATACTGAGTCTTATATAAAATAAAATATATGTGGGTGTCTAGTGCATGTATTATACCAGGCATGGGTAAACTTTGGCCCTCCGTGTGTTTTGGACTTCAACTCCCACAATTCCTAACAGCCTACCAGCTGTTAGGAATTGTGGGAGTTGAAGTCCAAAACACATGGAGGGACAAAGTTTCCCTATGCCTGTATTACACAGACTTAAATCCAATGTTTGTGCCATTATTGGGCTATAGGTTCCTCTCCTCTTAATCTGAGAGAAGTACTTGCTCCTGTTTATCTGTGCCATTCCCCCTGGTATCTCTCCCAGGTCAGATGCTGATGAATCCAGGTCCCCGGGGCCCTGTACCGCAGCCAGGCCTGCAGCAAGTCCCAGCCCCCAGCATCATGGAGGACGACATTCTCAGAGACCTCATCTGAAGGTGGACAAGGTCCCTGTTCCAGTGCCGTTTACTGCTGAGATGCTTCTCTTCTGGAGAATGTTACTGATTTGTTCTGTGTTGTGTGTAATATATTTTCGCTCTTGTTAAAAAATTATCATCCACACCCCTCTGTGTCCTGATGCTTCTTGAAAGAGTTCTCTGCTCCTCCGCTGTCCCAGTAACTCCTCTATCTGACCTCTCCATCCATGTCTGTAACAGCAATAGCCTCTGTTGCACTCAGCTGGGGAAGAGAGCCCAAGAAGGCTGAGCTTTAGCACAGCCCCAGAAGTTCTCATGTGGCCCTTCACAGAATTCAGGAAGACCAAGAAATGAAAATCTTTTGTTACTAGGAAACAGGGATCCCATGAGCTTCAGTGAAAATCTAGAACTGGTGAAGAAGCTGGATTTTTAAATATTTGATTACTTGTATATACTCAAAGTATAAGCCAAGCCCAAGCTAATGATGAGGAATGATGGGAACTGCAGACTAAAAATATATATATTCCCTTCCACCCTTTCATCCTTCCTTCTCTTTTTCCTCCCTTCTTCCCGCTCCTTCCTTCCTTCCTTCCTTCCTTCCTTCCTTCCTTCCTTCCTTCCTTCCTTCCTTCCCTCCCTCCCTCCCTCCCTCCCTCCCTCCCTCCCTCCCTCCCTCCCTCTCTCCCTCCCTCCCTTCCTTCCTTCCCTTTCGTCTTTTCTTCTCTCTTCCCTCCCTCCCTTCCCTTCCACTCTTCCTTCTTTCCATTCCCTTCTTCCCTTCCATCCTCTTCCTCCCTCCCTCCCTTCCTTCTCTTTTTCCTTCCTCTGTTCCTCCTGTGTGATGCTTACTTGGGAGAAGAGAAGGTAGAGAGAGAACATGAAGACCATGTTTCAAGATTTAAAAGGGTGTCCCTTTAAGGAGGAGGGAAGGGGGAAACTGACTTTCTGCTGCTCTAGAGACCAGGGCACAAGGGAGCAATGGTTTCAATTGGCAAGGAAAGAGATTTGACTGAATAAATTAAGAAGAATTCCTGAGAGTAAGAGTTGTTAGTGGCATGGGCTGCCTTGGAGTGTGGTGGTGTCTCCTACTCTGGAGGCTTTTCCGCAGAGGCAGTCAATCGGGAATGCTTTGATTGTGCCTTCTTGCATGACAGAGGGTTGGACTAGATGCCCTTAGGGGTCTCTTCCAGCTCTAAGATTCTAGGATTATATATCAGGAGTAGGCCATACGGGGTCTAATGGATACACTTTTTCTCTCCCGTCCACCATCTCATCTTGACCAAGGCCAACCCTTTGGGATCCAAATGTTTCCCATCTTTCCTTCACTTTCTGCCTCTGAAAGAGAAGAAGAAGGGGAGGAAAGGGCAGGGAGGGGACTTGGGGAGAACCCCCTTCCTCCCGGCCCGCCCACCCATCTCCGGCCTGCCATGTGGCTCCCAAGCTAGAAAGTTTGCCCATGCCTGGATTAAATTCCCTGAATAAATCTTGCCACAAAAAAACATAATAGGGTTTCCATAAGTCTTGATGAAATATGGGCTGGTCCATGTGGACTGAAACAAGAGGAATAGATTTAGAACAGAGGTAACCAAAGCTCATTCAGGATGATATTATGTGCCTGGTTGAATAACTGAAAGGAAGCAGGGGAGGCGAGAGCAGGCATGGGCAAACTTTCTAACTTGGGGTCCACACGCTAGCACTCCCTGCTAGAAGGACTGGCTGCCCAGTGATGGAAGGAAGGGAGGGAGGGAGGGAAGGGAAGGAGGAAGGAAAGAGAGAAGGAAGGATGAAAGGGAGGAAGGGAAGGATGGAAGGAGAAAAAGGGAGAGGGGGAAGGAGCTAGGAAAGAGGAAAGGGAGGAAAGACAAAAGGGAAGGAAAGAATGGAAGGGAAGGAGGAAGGAGGAAGGAAAGAGAAAAGGAAGGATGAAATGGAAGGAGGAAGGAAAGAAGGAAGGAAAAGAAAGGAAGGAGGAAAGAAAGAGAAGGAAGAAAAGAYRAAAGAGGAATGCAAGGGTRAAAGRATGAGAGAGAGAAGGAGGGATGAAAGATGGAAGGAAGGATGAAAGGGTAGAAGGGAAGGATAAAGGAAAGAGAAGGAAGAAAAGACAAAAAGAAAGGAAGGAGAAAGAGGGAAAGGGAAGGAAGGACAAAAGGGTGGAAGGGAAGGAGAAAGGGAAAGGAGGGAGGAAAGAGAAAGAAGGAAAAGAAATGAAGGAGGAAGGAAAGAGAAGGAAGAAAAGATTAAAGGGAAGAAGGATAGAAGGAGAAAGAAGGAAAGAGTGATGAAAGGGAAGGAAGGAGAGACAAAAGGTAGGGAAGGATGAAAGGGAAGGAAGGAGAGACAAAAGGTAGGGAAGGATGAAAGGGAAGGAAGGAGAGACAAAAGGGAGGGAAGGATGAAAGGGAAGGGTAAAAGAAAGAGAAGGAAGGAAAGACGAAAGGAAGGGAGGAATGAGAAAGAGGGAGAGGGAAGGAAGGACGAAAGGATGGAAGGGAAGGAGGAAGGAAACAGAAGTAAGGAAGGATAGGATGGTGAGAGGAGGGCCTAAGAGAAGAGCCCAAGGGGCCACATCTGGCCCTCCAACCTGGGTTTGCCCATACCTGGGCTAGAGTATGTAAAAAGGGTTGTAAGTCAGGATGCCTGGGTTCTTGATGTTAATCAATAGAAACACTCCAGAGATCAATCATGGCTGCTTTTATTTGTCCCACACCATCACTTTTTATTAAGCAAAGACGGCTTGGTTACTGCAGGAGTTGGGCCCAGTGCTCTGAACGGTGCAGTCACTGGAATCCATCTTGCAAAGGTCACAGTGGCAACTGATAGCCACGGGGTACGTGAAGGACGGGTTGACACCGGTTGGGCATCCCTGCAGGAGCATGGTCTCATAGCGCACCTCCTTGTAGGTGCAGACCCGTTGGTTGAAAGATGAGTGGATGGTCTTCCACAACATCTCCTGTAAAAGAGGGTAGTATATGTGAATAGCTTCACCTTGGTAATGTGTGGTGCGGAGGGGAAATGGTGTCAGTGCCTGCTTGCACAGGCTCATTCTATCATTTCCCTGTGTCTGGGTGAGATGATAAGATCTTCTCTCACCCAATCTTCCTCCCTGCCCCCAATACACACGTACACACCCTAGTCTCACAGTAGCCACTGCAGATGGAGGTGGTGATGGTCATGCAGATAGGGCAGTCATCTTTCTCAGCTGCTATGGTGGCATTGACAGGGTGGCAGGCCAGGCTGCTGCTCCTGCGACTGGCACAGAGAGTGGCAGCCAAGAGAAAGAATGCTGCAAGCAAAAGCTTCTTTTCCTAGGTAGGAAGAGACCAGAAATAATGGTTGAGGAATCTGGAGAGCAAGGCTAGAAGGAAGTTTCCAGGACTTTCACACTATGTAGTTGTTGCACTACGGAATCCTGGAGTTTATAGTTTGGTGAGGCACTAGAGATTCCTGGCTGAGAATTAAACTAAACCTTCCACATTTGTGGATTTGCCTTTTGCAGATTTGATTTTCATTAATTTTATTAAGATGTTCTGTTAACCTCTAGGTCAGCGTTTTTCAACCTGGGGGTTAGGTCCCCTTGGGGGAGGGGTTGCAAGAGGGTGTCAGAGGGGTTGCCAAAGACCATCAGAAAACACAGTATTCTCTGTTGGTCATGGGGGTTCTGTGTGGGAAGTTTAACCCTCCAAACCCACCAGTATTCAAATTTGGGCATATCGTGTATTTTTGCCAAATTTAGTTCAGTGAATGAAAATACATCCCGCACTTCAAATATTTACATTACGATTCATAACAGTAGCAAAATTACAATTATGAAGTAGCAATGAAAATAATTTTATGGTTGGGGGTCACCACAACATGAGGAACTGTATTAAAGGGTCGTGGCATTAGGGTGGTTGAGAAACACTGCACTAAAAGCTGTATTTCAGACGAAAGCAATGATTTAACCACAATTTTGTATTCTTGTCTGAGAAATCCTTATGAAATACAAACTGGATGGCTCTTATGGTCTATTCCAGCTCTATGATTCTGCACACAGTTATCTTAAATGGAGAGGCAACTTGAAGACACATAGATTGCAGCTCACAGTACAGCATTATAGTGTTGCCATGCATGAATTGATCAAAGATTATATATATTTAAATATCTTGTGAACATTTGTTCAAGACATGCATATATATATGTTTTGTTGGACTGACAGCCAGATAACATCCTCTGTAAAGTTGTGTGCACTCAGTGCTATTCATGCTTGGTCAATTTTGCGCAATCATATTCAGCAGGCCTTATGTTAAAGGGGTCTATCGAAAGTTGAAGACTCCACCGGATGGTGTTGCCTTTCTTCTAACCTAAAACCCTTGAAACTATCGTAGTGGATTTAAATGAATCTTATAGAATCATAGAATTGAAAGAGATCTTGTGGGCCATCCAGTCCAACCCCCTGCCAAGAAGCAGGAAAATCACACTCAAAGCACCCCTGACAGATGGCCATCCAGCCTCTGTTTAAAAGCCTCCAAAGAAGGAACCTCCACTGCACTCTGGGGCAGAGTTCCACTGCTGAACAGCTCTCACAATTAGGAAGTTCTTCCTAATGTTCAGGTGGAATCTCCTTTCCCGTAGTTTGAAATCCATTGTCCTGCGTCCTAGTCTCCAAGGCAGCAGGAAAAAAAGCTTGCTCCCTCCTCCCTATGATTTCCCCTCACATATTTAAACATGGCCCTCATCACATCTCAGGCTCCTTTACTGCAGGCTAAACATGCCCAGCTTCTTAAGCCACTCCTCATAGGGCTTGTTCTCCAGACCCTTGATCATGTTAGTTGCCCTTAGAAGTCATCTAGTTCAATCCTTTACTCAATGCGGTGATTATAGATATAGTGTCTCAGCTACAAGGCTATCTTGAATAAAGGGAAGTCCACCGCCTTCCCAAACAAGCCTGTCAAATATCTGTCACAGTTAGAATGGTTGCCCTATTATTTAGCCAAGAACTGATTTTTTTTTTGCTGTTCCTAGTACATCGGTTTTAGTGCTGCAGACATTCAGAAGAACAAGGCATGTCCATTGATATATAATCTCAGTGGTTCAGCTATCTTCCAAGCATTGCCTACAACTATGTGTGAGCCATACATCTACCTCACATTCAGCTTGTGCGTTTGCACTTACCTGTATCAGCTTCATCCCGTCTCTTGAGCTGTGAAGGAGCCCTACCGTCCTATTTTGCATCTTCTTTTATATACATCTTCCCCCTCCTCCGAGTCACCCAACCATCAGGAGCCTCAAGGACGAGCAAAAGAGGGATATCATCTCTCATGGCCCAACCATGCTACGGCTTCAAAGATGTTGTTGTTGGAAGCCTTGGCTTTTGTTCCTAAATTTTGTTTCGGCCAGTGTTTGAATGTTCAAAGGCTATGGCAATGTTACATAGATCTTTCTTTTTATTGTTAGGATTTTTCCTTCCTTGCAAGGAACTCAACAGGGGTTGTTGTGTGTTTTTCAGGCTATATGGCCATGTTCTAGAAGCATTCTCTCCTGACGTTTTGCCTGCATCTATGGCAAAACCCTTCCTATCCTGGCTGATAAGCCAAAGGGGGTTTGGCAGAGTGGGTTAAGGTGGTGGTTAATGCTTCCTTACAGAAGGGCAAGATTCCAGCCAGCCTAAAACAGGCTGTTATAAAACCGCTGTTGAAAAACCTTCACTGGACCCCACTCAATTAGTCAACTTTCAGCCAGTTTCCAATCTTCCCTACTTGGACAAAGTCATGGGACGTGTGGTGGCTTCGCAACTCCAGGGGTTCTTGGTAGACACTGATTATCTAGATCCGGCACAGTCTGGCTTTAGGCCGGGACATGGCATTGAAACAGCCTTGCTCGCCTTAGTAGATAATCTACGCCGGGAGCTAGACAGGGGGAGTGTGTCCCTGTTGGTTCTGCTGGACCTCTCAGCGGCCTTTGATACCGTCGACCATGGTATCCTTCTGAGATGCCTCGCAGAAATGGGACTTGGTGGTACTGCTCTGCAGTGGCTCCAATCCTTCCTGGAAGGTCAGTCTCAGAGGGTGTTACTGGGTGACACTTGTTCGGCTCCACCACCATTGTATTGTGGAGTCCCTCAGGGTTCAGTACTGACCCCAATGTTATTTAACATCTACATGAAGCCACTGGGGGAGATCATCCGGAGTTTCGGAGTAAGGTGTTATCTGTATGCAGATGACGTCCAGATCTGTCACTCCTTCCCACCTAAGGAGGCTGTCCAGACCTTAAACCGGTGCTTGGCTGCTGTGTTGGACTGCATGAGGGCTAAAAAATTGAAATTGAATCCAGACAAGACAGAGGTCATCCTGATCAGTTGCAAGGCTGAACAGGGCATAGGGTTACAGCCTGTGTTGGATGGGGTTACACTCCCCCTGTAGATGCAGGTTCGCAGCTTGGGAGTGATCCTGGATTCATCGTTGAGCCTGGAACCCCAGGTCTTGGCGGTGGCCAGAGAAGCTTTTGCACAACTAAGACTTGTGCGCCAGCTGCGCCCATACCTTGGAAGTCTGACTTGGCCACAGTGGTCCACGCTCTGGTTACATCCCGAATAGATTACAGCAATGCACTCTACGTGAGGCTGCCTTTGAAGTCGGTTGGGAAACTTCAGCTAGTCCAATGGTCAGCAGCCAGACTACTAACTGGGGCGACATACAGGGAGAATACTACCCCCCTGTTTTGCCAGCTCCACTGGCTGCTGGTCCACCTCCAGCCCAATTCAAAATGCTGGTTCTGACCTATAATGCTCTATACGGTTCTGGCCCAGCTTACTTGTCCGAACACATCCACCCCTATGTCCCACCTCGAAACCTAAGATCATCCGGGAAGGCGCTTCTGGTCGCTTCACTGCCGCATCATCTGGTGGGTTGTTTTGGCGTTGTTTGTCTGTGTTGTTTTGTTTTGTTGTGTGCTTGCGCTGTGCTACTCTGCTGCTGAGTATGCATGCCCAGTGTGGAAAGCACATCTCACCACACTAAAACAGTGGATGTGGCTCTTAATGAGACATGCCGCATTATCACAGGGTGTCTGCACCCTACACCACTGGAGAAATTACACTGCTTAGCTGGTATTGCACCACCTGACATCCGCCGGGAAGTAGCAGCCAGTAGTGAAAGGACCAAGGCAGAGACATCTCCAGCTCATCCCTGTTTGGGTATCAGCCAGCACGTCAATGACTTAAATCAAGAAATAGTTTTCTTAGATCTACAGAGACACTCGCTGGAACACCCCAGCAAGCGAGAGTCCAAAAATGGCAGGCTCAAATCCAGAACCTCAATCAATGGCTGATACCAAATGAGAGACTCCCCCCTCGGCACACAGAAAACTGGGCGACTTGGAAGGCGCTGAACAGACTGCGCTACCAAGTTGAATCCACGACATGCGAGTGTGGAGAAGAGCAAACCACTGACCACCTGCTGCAATGCAACCTGAGCCCTGCCACATGCACAATGGAGGACCTCCTTGCGGCAACACCAGAGGCACTCCAAGTGGCCAGATACTGGTCAAAGGACATTTAATCAACTACCAAGCTTGTGTTTTGTCTGTTTGTTTGTTTTTGTCAAAAAATGTAATACAAATGTCTGGTTGCTGATGACACGATAAATAAATAAATAGAACTGCTCGCTCCCTGTCAACAGCACAAATGCGATGGGGGACGAGAGACAGGGCCTTCTCAGCTGTGCCCCCCCCCCGGTCTTTGGAACACACTCCCAAATGAGGTAAGATCAGCCACCTAACTTTTCAAAAGAAACTAAATGCATGGTTTTGAGACCAGGCTTTTGGACAATAGGTGCAAGCAGCACTTTAAGGGAATGTGACTGGAACGACGATATGGCTGATGAGACTGTTTCACTGTTTTAATGATGGTTTATGTATTGTTAATTATGCTTTTATGTTTAATTGTGGTTTTAATTTTGTAATTTGTTATGTAATGGCTTCGTAATGGGGCCCATTGTAATCTGTCCTGAGTCCCCTTCAGGGGTTGAGAAGGACGGGATAGAAATGCGGGAAATAAGCATCCTCAGAGGTTGTGACCTCACCTCAGACCTCACAACCTCTGAGGATGCTTGCCATAGATGAAGGCGAAACGTCAGGAGAGAATGATTCTAGAACATGGCCATGTAGCCTGAAAAACCTACAAGAACCCAGTGATTCCAGCCATGAAAGCCTTCGACAATACATTGAACTCAACACGGTCCATGTGTCTCATCAGCTGTTTCATCCCCAAATTTTCTCATCATGACATTATAGATTACGCTACGTAACATGAATTTTGTTCCTGGGTTATAAATTTCATTTCCTAATTGGGTCTATCATAAAAGCATGGAAAAAGTTTATTAAATTGCAAAAACTTTGTATTTGTGGGACATTCTGCAGCACATTTTGCTATGGTTTTGCAATGAATCTCTCATTGAGCCTCAACCAATTCAACATAGTTTGCAGCAGTCACAAAAACAAAGTCTCTGGAAGATAACAACTATGTAAGAAAAGATAAAGGTTTCCTCTTGACATTAAGTCTAGCCGTGTCCGACTCTGGAAAGTGGTGCTCATCTCTATTTCTAGGCTGAAGAGCCAGCGTTGTCCGTAAACACCTCCAAGGTCATGACTGCATGGAGCGCTGTTACCTTCCCACTCTAGTAGTACCTATTGATCTACTCACATTTGCATGTTTTCGAACTGCTAGGTTGGCAGAAGCTAGGGTTAATAGCAGGAGCTCACCCCGCTCCCTAGATTTGAACCGCCGACCTTTTGGTAGGCAGGTGCCACCGGGGAGCCCTTCAAAGTACATAGGTAAAAGTAAAGGTTTTCCCCTGACATTAAGTCTAGTCGTGTCCGACTCTGGAGGGTTGGACACGACTCTTAAGCTTCATTTCTAAGCTTAAGAGCCGGCGTTGTTCGTAAACACCTCCAAGGTCATGTGGCCGGCATGACTGCGTGGAGCACCGTTATACACAATTAAAGAGGAAATAGCACACAATTAAAGAGGAAATAACACTTCCAAAGCAGGAATATGTTTTGTTTGTTTTCAAAATTAGTTACATAGTGTACCAACCTTGGGCTGTATGACTGTCACTTTCATCAAAGTCAAGGTTAGTTGACATGGACTTGAGCCAACACACAGGAAGCATTCTTAAAAAACAAAACAATACAACTGTGCTGACATCTTCATCCAGAAAACTAGAAGCCTGAGAAATTTGTGATGGAATTATGATTTGTAGCATTCCAGGTTCTTGGAAAATTGTATTTGAAGAAAAGCTTAAAAGCTACTAGCCAGAGAGAAAACTGGGTTAGGACATGTGTGCAAGAATCTCTGGGTTCTCTGAATGGGATTACATGCAGGAAAGCCTTACGAGGGTTCTGCTAGAGCAGGCATGGGCAAAGTTTGGCCCTCCAGGTGTTTTGGACTTGAAGTCCCACAATACCTAGCAGCCTATAGGCTGCTAGGAATTGTGGGACTTGAAGTCCAAAACACCTGGAGGGCCAAACTTTGCCCATGCCAGTGCTAGTGTGTGTGTGTGTGTGTGTGTGTGTGTGTGTATATATATATATATATATGGAATACAATTTATTTATTTCGAACACTTCTACAACTCCCAAGATTCTTCAGCAAGCATGGCTGGCAACCATGCAGATTGGATATTTTAAGAGTTCTAGTAAAAGAAGATCAAATAATGAAGTTTTAGGGTGTTACATATGAAATCGAAGATATTTGTGTGAACAAATGTTGAATCATGGGCCTTAGTCTGGTGGAATACCAAAGGTGATAGCGCTATGTCAGTGAAGTCGAGCCCCCCCCCCCCCAAATAAGGGATAGTGACTTATAGTTCTGCAAAGGGCAAGGGCACCAGACTGCACAGTAGGGGTTAAGTCTTGGTCACATTGCCAAGGCACTAACAACAACAAGGACCCCACGAGGCTTTTGGGGAACGGCTGGATCTTGGGACTTCTGCCCTTCAGGAGAGTTGCAGTTTCCCAAGGACCAACTTCGATCCCAGCGTGGCAGAATTTCCACTCAATGGCTCAGTGGGAAATCAACAGACTTTCCTTTTGGGCTTTAATTGCTCTGTCTGATGTTTTGGACTCGCAAGTACATCTCTCCCGCTCATGAACTTCCCTCAAAATGAACTATGGACTCATATTGCTTGAAAATAATTTCTTTATTAAATTTCTTTGGCAGGGTGGGATGGGGAAGGAGATATTTGATATGAATTTCTGTGGATTTCTGTATTCC